GCATTGATGCAGGCCGAGGAGCGTAATGTTAGTAGTGTTCCATGGAAAGTCTACGAAGCATATATCAAAGCCTCCGGAAGTATTCTTGTCGCCCCGATTATCATCTTTCTTCTCTGCCTTTCGCAAGCAACAAATATCATGACTACGATGTGGCTTGGATACTGGACAAGCGGTAAATATGGGCTGTCAAGAGGAACCTATGTGAGTACCTTAACCCTAACCCTGACCAATGATTGCACTTACTAACAAGGGTAATGATCAGATTGGTGTATTTGCGGGATTGGGAGTCGCTCAAAGTTTTCTCATGTTTTTGTTTTCATTTTCTTTAACGATTGCCGGCACGAAGAGTAGCAGAGTCCTTATGCACCTTGCGATGAGGCAGACACTACGAGCCCCAATGTCATTTTTCGATACGACTCCCATCGGTAGAATCGTGAACCGGTTTTCAAAGGATGTCGACGTTATGGACAACAATCTTACAGACGCCATTCGGATGTATTTCTTTACCATCGCTAGTATGTTGCCCTTGGCGAAGCATGTTGTGTCTATTTGCTAACTCACTTTTTTTTTTATTTAGTAATTTCGTCCGTCTTCGTCCTTATTATTGTCTACTTCCATTACTTCGTAATCGCCCTTGTTCCCCTCGCCATTTTCTTCATATTCGCCTCTTCCTACTACCGCGCCTCTGCGCGTGAAGTAAAGCGCCATGAATCTGTGCTCCGCTCCGTTGTTTACGCCAAATTCGGCGAGGCCCTCTCGGGAACCGCCAGCATTCGCGCGTATGGCCTCCAGGAGCGCTTCAAGCACGAAATCGACAAGGCTATCGATGGCATGAACTCCGCATACTTTGTTACCTTCGCCAATCAGCGTTGGTTATCCCTTCGTCTTGATGTGGTTGGTAACCTGCTTGTCTTTACAACAAGTATCCTCGTTGTAACATCCCGATTCGATGTCAACCCTAGTATCTCTGGGGTGGTACTATCATACATTCTCCAAATCGTTATGATGTTCCAATGGATGATTCGCCAGCTCGCAGAGGTCGAAAACGCCATGAACGCTACTGAGCGCATTCATCACTATGGGAACTACCTCCCGTCAGAAGCCGAGCTACACAAAGGTGCAATCCGCCCTGCATGGCCTGAGCACGGAGAGATTGAAATGAGAGATGTGAAGATGCGGTACAGAGACGGACTGCCACTCGTCCTCAAGGGCTTCGACATGCACGTCAGGGGAGGTGAGAGAATTGGTATCGTTGGCCGAACTGGTGCGGGGAAGAGCTCAATCATGAGTGCATTGTTCCGCCTGGTAGAGCTCAGCGAGGGAAGCATCATGATTGACGGTGTCGATATCTCCAAAATTGGACTCCATGACCTCCGCAGCAAGTTGGCGATTATCCCGCAGGATCCCACGCTTTTCCGCGGGACCGTTAGGAGTAATTTAGATCCGTTTGGCGAACGCACAGATGAAGAGCTCTGGGGTGCACTCCGACAGTCCAATCTGGTTGAAGAATTAGCCGACGGTACCAGCGGTGGTAGAATCACATTAGACGGGGTTGTGGAGGAGGAGGGAATGAATTTCTCTTTGGGCCAGAGGCAGCTGATGGCGCTAGCAAGGGCACTGGTGAGGGGCAGCAGGATCATCGTGTGCGACGAGGCCACAAGTAGTGTGGATATTGAGACAGATAGGAAAATCCAGAAAACGATTGTGGAAGGATTCGAGGGGAAGACTTTATTGTGCATCGCGCATAGGCTGAGGTATGCCAATTTCTTTTTTCTTCACTCCATTTGAAAAATTCTATATTTTTATTTGCTTTTGGCCCTTTACACCCTCTGTAGTCTTGCGGGGCCTGTTTTTTTGTTTCACCCGCTTTTATATACCCATTCAGTGCAAGTGTAACCCTACTTTATTTGTGCCACGGTACTGGGTACTGCTACAGGCTGTTTCACCTCAACCATGTATTGCGCCGAATGTCTCGGAAATCCACATCCCAGGACCCCATACCTAAAACCCTTGATAGGACTTTGTAGCTAACGGTAATCATTTTTTTCTCCTACAGAACCATCATCAAATACGATAGAGTCTGTGTGATGGACGATGGGCGTATTGCTGAAATGGACACCCCATTGGCATTATTTGAGAAGGAAGGGGGCATATTTAGGGGCATGTGTGATAGGAGTAAGATTAGAAGGGAGGATTTCTTTGCTATTGAGGAGTAAATGGGGAATATTTATACGAGGTATGGGGATATAAATGAGGGTAGTAATTGCATTGTAATAGATGAGATTGAATGGTAATGAATCGGGGGGCGAAACAAAATCGGATGATTATGAGTGGTAGAGCCGAAGAATGGGGGTTTTATCGGTTGTTCTTGCTGTAACTTAGGGGCCTGTAATAGTAGGTAGAGTGCGTATATCAAAAGGAGAATTCCGTTACTCGATTTATATGCCTGTAATAGTAGGTAGAGTGCGTATATCAAAAGGAGAATCCCGTTACTCGATTTATATGCCTACATCACTAGTAGATATCTCATGTTTGAGGCGTTGCGAACACTGCAACCTTTACGATAAGTATTTTATGTATACATGTAGGTATCTACTGGACAGCACCCAAGTAGGGGCTGCATTAAAATATTCAGACAGTACTAGTATTCGCTGACGTTTTTGAACTGGGCCATTATTGCATACACCCAAAATCATGAGCTTGGCGTATTTTTGTATGGCATGCAATATCAGTCGCGTCCACAAACGTCAGAGAAATACGAGTACAGCTTGCGGTAAGATTATTGTAGAAATATGGGAGGAGTCCTATTGGCTTGCCCAGCCACAGAAACCCTGTTTTTAGACCCCTGTTTCTACCTCTCGCTGTACTTTTTCAAGCCCTTAGACATATTCACGAGCCACTCCCACGTGACCTGCACTGCCTGTATCGCATATGATTGGTTCACCAGGTCTCGCCCGGTTAAACACATGCCAAGTTGACATTAATGTTTTCTCGTAAACCCCCCCATGCCTGCCCCAGTTTACCTGATATACGATATCCCCAGCTAGTTTACTCTCGGGCTTTCGACCGGAGCAGAAGGTGGAGATTCAGGGTGGACATCTGTAACTATATGGACCACATATGCCTGAGAAGCTGGTAAACGTACCCATAGAAGAGCACACATGTCGAACATGCTTTTGCCAAAGCAGAGGAGGAGGAGGATGAGGGAAGATAGAGTAAGTACATACACCGCTCAGACAGCCTGACCCGACCCGTAGGACGGGATACGGGAACGGGAACGGGACAGCTCACGATCTTACCGGTGGATGCGTGCTTATGGCACGAACGGGATAGGAGGTGTGGAACATGTATTATTTATTTTGGCCACTGTATTACTTCTTCCACTCCTGTAATTCGTGGGGGGGGGGGGGGGGGAGTGGGGTGGTAGATCGAGGTGCGGTGGATGGACATGCTGTACTTGGCTTTATTATATTATGTGTAGTCCTTGAGGGCATGGCCGTACGTATATCCATCTATCTACAAGTCGAGGATGTTCGTTGCAGGTAGAGAGAGAGAGGGAGTATGTACAGTAGAGAGTAGAGTAGCTGCATGGACTCTAGATGACATTAATTCCTACTCATGGGTACAGGTATTGTATGCAGGTGTAAGTGTTTTATTTGATGTGAGGTTGCAACGGTGGAGCCTCTTTTTCGGGGGATTAAATTGAGGGCCTCGAGTTCCCATTCGGGGGTTGCAGAAGAATGATCGGCAAATGCCGATGTGGCCGATCTCTTCAACCATCTCTTACTCTTTCCCTGTGTCCCTCGCCCTGCATTCAAACACGCTCCCAATCCATCCATTCACCGAATAAGCAGGGCACAGAGTGCTGTTGGGTTTGGGGGGGATACGGTCCATGGCCAGGAGGGAGGTTTTTTTTCTCTTGGGGGGGGGTCCGGGATTATTGAGGGGGTGATGGTAGTGAAAAGACCAGTGGCTGTCCCGTGCTATTAACTTGCTTTTTTTCTTCTTTTTTTTTTCTCTGTCTCTGTCTGCCTGTCTCTCTTTCTCATCCTGAAGATGTGATGTGCTAGAAACAGCGATAATCGTTTTTTATTTTTTATTTTTTTCATCTCTTTTTTTTTATTTTTTCCTTTCGCGTTTTTTCTCTCCTTCTGATTGATGCTTGTCGCACCCGTTTGTAACAATTGCCTAGATCCTGTTCAGGTTGTGTATCGGGAGGGAGGGAATGTGTGTATGTGTATCCGTTGCCTGCTGCACTCTAGCTGTCTACTGTCACCTTTAGTTAGGTATTTCTCGTCTCCCACTCTTCTAATTATTCATCACCTTTAGTTAGTCTGTCTGGCTGCCCACAAGTAACTCACCCGCTCACTCGTTCTGCCACTCTCACACACTCTTTCACACCCTTCACTTTTTTTTCCTTATTGTTCGCCTGTGCCCATTTGTTACTCCTGCGCCTGTCCTCCCATCTACATCGGGACTTTTTTTTTCAGGGTATAGCTGTGTCTGCTGCTGCTGCTGGCTATACTTTGCCAGACACGGGCTTCACTGATCTGATCGCTTTGGCCTGCTTGGGACCTCTCTGATCTGATCCCTATCGAATTAAATCTAGTCCTTGTTGTTGGGTTGTTGCTCTTGTTCTTCTTTTCCATCTTCTCTTGTCAATCCTTTCTCTTTCTGCTCATCCTCATCCACCTCTTCCTCTTCTTCTCCTTCCCTTCTGCTCCTTCCTTCTCTTTCACTACTTTATCCAGTCATCATCCCCTCCACCTCTCGCTGAAATCCAAATATCATTCTCTCTCGTTCATCATCCTCGACCATTGAGATTCCTCTTCGTTGACATCTTCGTTGCCATCCTTACTCGTTGGTAAACTTCAACTTCATAAAACATCAAACTTCTCTCCACATTGCACTCGGCTCAACAGTATTCTTCATCTCAATCTACCCCACTACCACTAACACTGCAACTGCTACCTCACCAAACCCAAACAACATCTTCCACGATGACTGCTACCCCTCCTATTCCCATTACCATTATCACTGGATTCTTGGGTTCCGGCAAAACAACCCTGCTGCTCTCCCTACTTCCCCAGCTCCCCGCATCATATAACCTCTGCCTGCTCAAAAACGAGTTTGGCGATGTCGAAATTGATTCTCGCCTTGCCTCGCAGGCATCAATCTCCGGAGTTACGGAATTGCTCAATGGCTGGTTAGAGATACCCCCCCCCCTTCACCTGCCCCCACCCCCAAACCCCCCACTTGATATCATTGACCATCGCAATTGACACCGAGCGACTTTAGTATATGCTGCAATCTTGTCGGACAGCTCGGCGATGCCCTAATCGCCCTTCGCGATGATTTTAAGCCCCACCGCATAGTCATTGAGACCTCCGGGAGTGCTTTCCCGGCCACCCTTGCGATGGTTCGCTCTCCCCCGGCCCCCCCAAAATCTGGGTGATCCCTGCTAACACTTCCCCCTAGGAGGTTAATCGCATCGCCTCCGAAACTAACGGCGCGTTTGTCCTTGATGGCGTGGTTGTCGTCATCGATGTCGAGAATTGGGCAGGCTACAGCGACACATCATATACGGCGAAGCTCCAAGCGCGGTACACGGACCTGATTGTTCTCAACAAATGGGAGAACATCGATTCCCGAAGAGACGATGAGGTTATGGATCGGATCCGCGATGTCAACGAGGAGACCCCGGTCGTGAAGAGCGATAAGGGGCGTGTGTCAAAAGACGTCATCTTTGGGGTTGACAGCAGCCTGGCAAAGGAGCTTTTGTTGCAGCCGAACGGCAATGGCAATGACCATGACCACAATGACAAGCATTCGAGGGAGGTTGAGGTGTTGTCGATCACGCTGCCCTACCAGATCGATGGCGCAGGCAAATACCTTGACGTTGCACAGCTGGAAAGATTCCTCAAGACGGCGCCTAAGGATGAAGTTTACAGAATTAAGGGCACATTTAGGTCTCACGAACCCCCTCCATTCGAGACCCCGCTCCCACCATCCCCGAGGTATATCTTGAACTGGGCTTTCGGAAGGTGGACATACACTGCGCTCAAGAAATCAACCGTTTCGACAACTATCGAGGCACCACAGCTCACGCGACCATCTTCCTCATCCGCCTCCAACTCCTCGACAGCGCCACCAAGCCCAACAATGTCGGACGGAAACCGCCGCATTGAGGTGATAGTTCAGACATCCATCAACACCACGGTCGAGTCCAGGGAGGATGGCGAGGATGCGCGGTGGGATGGGGAACCAACCGGAAGATTCATCGTCGTTGCTGGCAGGGGAGAGGGTGAGAGGTGGAGGAAGAGGCTCCAGAAGGAAAACTGGATCACATACGACAATGGGGCGGAAGGAGCCGTCCAGATTGTAACCGTTTTGTAAAAGAAATGAGAGGTTTGAAGGAAGGAGTTGGGCGTTTTTTTATTTTTATTTTTATTTTCCCCCATTGGACTTTTGGTTTTTTTTGAGGGGGAAAGAGGAGAGAGGGGAAGGGAAATTTCGGATACGCCCGTTTCGGATTTCAGCATGACCAACTCTTCGTGGAAGCCCGTATACACAGTGGATGGTTTCGGTAATGGCCGATATCTAATACCTATTTCATGTTCAGGCGCATTTTTATCTTTTTTATTTTTATTTTCTCGCCGCTCTTTGCGCTTACTACAGAGGAGGGGGAGACTAGGGAATGCAATGCAAGGGACAAATAGGTTGGGATTTTCCGATTACATGCAATACATGGTAGTTACTGGCTGTACTTTCAGTTTAGTTAGGATGATAGTTTAGGCAGCAGCGATAAAGAAATAAGAGATAAGTGTCAATTATCTACTTGATCATGTACCCGAATATGTACTCGCGACCAGCAACAAGAACCCGAAAATGCACGTCCTAATCTGCAATTTCCGTTGGAGTAGAAGTCAAAAATACACCAAAGACTTGCAGCTGCATATTCGGGTTCTTGTTGCTGGTCGCGAGTACACACGGGAGAGTGTCGCGAACAAGGAATTAGTTACATACATGTGGCATTTAGGTCAATAGGGGAATTTTGATCTTTTTTTTGCATATTGTCATATCACTTGTGGGTTTTTTTTGTTGTTGGGCGCACCGGCGGCTGCCTATGCAGCGGCCCGTAGAGAAATGCTTGCGCCAGTGCACATGGCATCCGTTCCCTCCCTCCTTCCCCCAGTCCGCAGAGGCGTTCGCTCGTTGGAAGGGGGGAAGGGGTTGGGTAGGGGAACCTCGGGGGCGCCAATGTCGTCTGTTTGTCTGGCTGCAATGCTCGCCATGAGTTCTCACTCGATTGCGGGGTGCTAGCTCGCCTGTGTTGTACAGCTGTCTTGTCTGTATGTCTGTCGCGCCGCTGCTGCTGCTGCTGCTTGTGCTGCCAGCCAGGCTAGGGCTACTTACCTGCCAAGCTACATATCTGCCAGGGACCAGCTAAACCCTGATCCCCGCCAAAGGGACCTGTCTACATAATAGGTTAGATAGCTGTTAACCAGCGACAGCCCAGAACGAGTAATTAGTAGAGTTGGGTGGCGACTTTAACAGCGACAACAACAGCCGTTAATGGTGGTTGTAAGCGATCACGATATCCGACCGTCAGTACCTACTTTACTCTCTCTACCTCTCTCTCTCCATCCCTTTCTTTATCTTTCTCTCCCGCGATTTCGTGTTTAGTTATTCGCGACCCAGCAGCTATGACCAGTGGCACCGTTGCACTTTTCCAGTACCAAAGTCAGGCGCAGCTGGAGAGCATTTTTAATCTAGTCAGGCGGTGAGTACAGCAGATAGAAATCTGCAGAAAGAAGGTAAAATAAGCTAAGGTAAGGCATAGGTGGTCACTCGCTCGCATCTGGCGGACTAGTTAAGCTTTTATTATGGGCTGACCGAGGGAGGCGCTCCCCCGGGATGCAGCAGCTGAAGACGAGGGGGGGTGAGACCGCACTTCTCGCCGCCTCCGACCGCCACAGGTGAATTACTGACGATAAGTGCACTTACTGTTCGAATTCGGATTCCGTGAATCCTGTTTACAGTCCGTCTAGTGGACACAGTTGCAATAGGCATTTGAAACTTTATCAAACACATCTATAGACTGGGATTTACCATGAAAATCGACATCGACATCGCGATCGATATCGTCGGGGAGGTTCGGCGATGTCTTGTTGGGCTTGCTGATTTACTGATGGGAGATGTGGTCGGGGTTGGTCTGTGCTTTCTTGGAGGTTTTGGGGGAGTCCTTCGGTGGTGGGGGCGGTTGCCATGTGGAGGCTAAAGTTACACGGAAGTGAGGTGAGGTGATAGCTAGGAGAATTGTTATATAAGGTCAGCAGAGCGGGCAATGATCAAGACGGGGAAACCATTCTCCGACCTTAGTGTCAATCACCTACATACCAGCCAGGTAGTTGGCCTTCGGTGAAAAACATAGTTTGCAACATCACGATCGACACTCGACACATCAACAATTGTGCCTCGGCCGCATAGACAATCACTCGCGTGATCGTCGGCGCTTCGCCGTAGGTAAACTGGGGCTTAAGTAAGTCGCAGAGTAGAGCGCGGAGGTGGGGTCATCTAAACGGATCGAACATGGATGCCATCTGTGCATCTTGATAAGCGATATTGGATATCGATATGTTTTGTGCTACTGACAACTGGGGAGTTAATGTGGAAACATTTTCTCTTTTTCACTTGGCGTCTGTGTATCGAAGCGAATCTTATTCTCTGGCAATATCTCTCTTACTTCTGGCCTCCCATGGAATGAAAATGTACTAGATACTAACTTCCCGAATTGAATAAGAAACCCAGGAGACTGCACATGCGCATGCAAACAGTACTACTAGGATTAGAATCAGCTTCAAATTTGCCTCAAGTGTTAGGCACGGGGGTATATACGGGGAAGAAAAGGAATGACCGACCCATATCCTCTCACATACCTCTCCACGGCATCTAAAGACCAGAACATTGTTCACCTGATCGAGGAGGCTTATCAACCCCACATTCTGACCTCCCCCGCACTGCACTAACAGCTAGTGGGGTGAGGAAACACCAGCCCGCTCAGACTTCAAAAGCACGGAGTATAATTTCACCGATATAGTGCTCCGCCCCGAAACATCTCGATTCTCATCGATTTATCCGCCTTGCCCGCTACGTCCAATTCGAGTATCGCCCTGGTTCGTGGCATAAAACGTAACGCGCAGACCGCACAAGGGTTAGGGTTGTAAGTAACTATCCAAGGTGGAGCTAGTGATAGATTATGATTGAGGCCGTCAAAACTCAACAGCAAGCTACAACGTATTTGATACCACCTCGCATACCAGCTTATTCTAAAAAAAGATTAGTGCAAAGTTTTGAAGCCGGGGTGAGAATGATCCTGGCGTTCGCTTTCGTTCAACCTAAAATACCTAAAATCAGGGCTGTGCGGGGGCGAGTGGCTAGACTCCTATGAGGTTAGTCTGGGTTTTGTGGGACCACGAAACATTCGTAATTGCGTGATTGATATCTCTAAGAGCAGGTGACATTTGCTAGTTGAAAGAGCTAGAGACTGATAATGAATGGCATTTTGAATACTGTCACGATCCCTGGAGTTAAAAACGAAGGTTAGGTATTCATGGGTTCAACTGCCAAGAAGGTGTAGCAAAGGAAAGGATTACCGAGGGGTTTGGTTGAGACCATGGTTCAAGTAAGCTTAAGTGAAATGCACCAGAAACTGCTTTATGGTGGGACTGTCAAACCAAATTAGGTTCCTGGAGAGTCGCTTTCAGCCCTGCACATAAAACAGTTTATACGCCCCCTAACAACTTGCAGCTGTCGAACCTGGGGGAAATATCCCTCGGGGTCAACCGCGGAGTTTGATTTACCCGGCTAGAGATAACTCACTTTAAACTGGGACAATTTGAAACTTGAGCTGTCGTATTGTCTCAGGGGGCGTTTTCTGCCTTGTGAACTTGTGGTTCCTGTATCTTGTGCTTTGTGGCGAAAAATCGTCGCGGCAATTCCGAGACTTAAGACATTGGTTCTTGAAAATTGCTATTGGTAGGTGAATATGTTATCATGTATCCTTTGTAGTTTGATTAACTGCATGACCCAAAGCCTCTGGTTTTATTCGTCAATCCCATTAGTCAAAAGTGGGATTTGATTGATTAGAGACACAGACGCACCGATATCTTATCCTAGACATGGACATTACCCCATTTTTAGGAACCTTAGTTTTGGGTCTGCCGTTTATTAGTCACATCAGTACCTAGTTTGGTTCAAGTTTGTTATGGGGATCGAGATGGCGAGAGGGTTGTAATGATATGACTTTTATCTATTGCATATTATTAGCGTCGTAAATGCAGTTCTATCCGTCACTTGACATAGGCCTAGCTCTGTAATATTGTCAAAGCGTCGGGCCACTATCTTGTCGTGGTGTCATAATAATACATTGCAGCTGGGAAGATCTTCAGTGCCTACATATCTGTTCCTTCTCAACCACTTGAAGTGGCCTGTGTTGAATACTGGCGCATAGAATTTATCTTTGAGACTGGGTTTGTGTAATTTGCAAGCATCAGATCTTGAAGCTCTCATTCGGTAGTGAAATCGAGTGGTGCCTTGATAACTGGAGAATGATCAGCGCTGTAGCCAACTCTAAAATACCCTAGAACCATTGGCTCGGGCTTGGATTCGACCCGACTGAAAATATAGAGAGAAACTTAGCTTACACACGGCCCGAGCCGTACTCGAGTCCGGGATGAATTAACCCAAGAGGTTCTGGATATGATCGAAATTTCACAGGTTTAAGCAAAGCAAATTCATCGGTTTCCAGGCCGGCTACTTTGACCCGTTCCGTCGATACACATGTGGAAGCATCCCGATCCAAAGAATTCTTATACGTCTGCTAGGTAGTAATCAGTCACTTGATAAATCTCTGGAGCGAGTACGGACCTCAAAGTTGACAGGTGGAAGTGATAATTAGATCTACATTCAGGTAAAGTAGGTGCACGTATACATAGTTTAGAGGCCTGCTATACCTAATCTCGCAGCTCTTACAAGAATAAATGGATAACATAATATGTTTGAAATTTGGACGTGAAGATCAGTAATATTAATGAGGGATAAAGCCGCGAGTACATACCTGTCACTGCAGAAGCGAAGCTAGGACGTCTCATCACCGAGAAAACTTATTTAGCTCACTTTAGGCTAATTTTATAGCCAACTTCGCTTGAGCATATCCCCCACATCGAGCAGAGCCTTCCCTATGGACAGTACGTACCACGGGAACGATTTTTTTATTTAGAGGAACTGCTCCCGGGGATCGGTAGAGTACTAGATGCTTGCTAGTTAGTTAGGACAACCGACAGGACGTCTGTGCCTGTTCGCTAAAATATGCTCATCCGTAGCTTGTCGCCAAGATATAGGTTCCGTTGGGTGGGTAGGGTCGATCAAGAAATTAAGATGTGCCGGGTGTGATGTGTTTGGCTGTCGGCAGATAGGTAGATTTGGCTGGGCCTGGGGACCCGTGCTTAACACATTTGGCATATCCTTTTTTGAAATAAATTATAATTTCTATACGGAGACCCCGACAATGTAGATGCCTCAAGAATCAACTGCTCAGGTATACGGATGAATTCGATCCCGGACTTCACCTTGGTTTGCGTTCAGTGCATGATGATGGTTATTTAAAAAAGCAAGAAAGGGGGACGACACATACCGCATCAGTCTCATAAGACATACTTGCACATGACCTTTTGTAACTATGCTACATTTAATGCGATACCTTCGGTGTTCTGTTTTTGGGAAGCCTGTCGGCAAACCGATAAAGCACGAGTGAGAGACCATGAAGGAGGGGTGCTACACTTTGTTAGTGATCTGAAACTCTCCCAATATGATGAAGTCGTTAAAAACCCCATTCGATGATTAATCGACGTATATGGATTGATGAGAGCCAGCAAAATATCATGCCCCTTTGTGTTGGCTTATGCCCCCCCCCACATTCATCATCGATCCAATTTCACCAATCCCTCAGGTACTGCTGTATCCTGCATTCATGTGAGCACATATGAATTCGTAAAAAAATACGTAGTCAAAGCATTCTGAATAGGAGACATGTACCCAACAGGATATTCGGTTTGCTCCCTGGTGTTTCCCATGGGTGGCTTCCACGCGATCTGTCAATTTCAATGGTATTATCTCTATAGTATCATCGCTATAGATTGGAACCCTGAAATGAAGGCCTTCTCTAGCCCCCGTGGATAAGGATTCTTAGATTACTCTCATTTTTAGTAGGTAAATGCTTTCATCACTTAAACAGTCGTGTCGTCGCTGGCCTCCAGTGTTGCTGTTCTAACCGGATATTGTGAGACTGGGCGCTTTCCTTGATGATAGACAATTGGATGGAAAGGAGATCTTTTCCTCGGCCAAAAACGAGGGGGATAGGAAGTGGCAGCTCGATGGACTGTTCGGGGGTGAGGTTGGTAGTAGCCACACCGCGGTTACATGTATTGACTACAAAGCTTACGTGGCGACACAACCTGACAGGTCGCTTCATTACCAGTGTCTCACCAGAGTCTGCACATGTACAATATACGGAATAATTCTTAGTGATGTTGTCCGAACCGGTTGAAATGGTAAAGTTACACATACACCACTGGTATTTCCAGGACGTTTGAAAAGGCTCAGTGCTCTAGATGCACATTTCGCTCAGATCATCAAGATACGTACACCAATGAACACTTCGCTCAGATCATGAAGATACTAGACTTACATACATGCACATAAGGTCTCGGTGAGTTCTCCTAGCTGCAACATCAAGAGTAATCCACTTGCTTTAACATCTGCAATAGACAGGAAATGGTGAGTTACATATATTGTGAACAAGCGTGAATTATCAGACTTCCAATATCAATTTCGACCAGCCGCGGGGTAGTTCATGAATTCAGTCGGCAAGTTTCGTATATGACTAGACGAATCCAGCGCGTACCAGCTAGGCTAATGGCTCCGGGAAGAGGTTAACTGGTGAAACCCAGCCTATTCTGAAGGCCAAAGCGCTCTTCGCGCGGAAAGACACCACTACAAGAGATTCGAATTAGGCGCCACACGTTCCCTCGATCATGGACACTTGTGCGCTTATCCTTTCGTCTATCAGTTAAAAGTTGCCACCCAAGAAAAAGCAAATCTGGTGTGACTTTACTAACATATCTCTTTATCTCTCTTATCAAATAATAGATCTTCCATACAATTTAATTCCTCTATTATACGGCTGCAGCACCGAGAGACGAAGCGCCACGAAGGGATAGCATCTTGAACTTAGAAGCGGAGTACACCTACTATGTAAGCAGGACAAACCCGCTATTCAACTCTCTATGGTGGGATAAACTGGAAACTTCCGTTACTATATATAGTAACTTACTGACCGCTTTACAGCAGGATACTTATAATAGGTTTATTCACCACTTGACACAGTCTACATATATACCTGTACCCAAGAAGAAATCTCTCGGCTAAACTTACTGTGGCCAACCCCTGACACCAATTACTGGCAGCCAGTGCCATATCTTACAGCTCATGAGCTTAGAATATCGAAATACAATAAGTATTTAGTACCATATCATCTCCTGGGGGTTGAATACAATTATATTTGGCAGCAATTCATCCAACTCATATTCCTCGACTGTAATCATAAACTATCACTCGGTCGCGACGGGAGTTCGCTATGATTTTTTTTTTTTTTTTTTTTTTTTTTTTGTTTAATTCATGGAGTTCGCTATGAAATGTTTTTGGTTATTTTTTGTTTTGTTTAATTCATTAATTGCATAATGTTTTTGGCTATTTTGAGGGGATAGTTGGGACTAAACGACGGTCTCTCTCCTGAGCTTTTCATTTTCGACAGTACCAAGAGTCATCTCAATATTTCAAGATATCGTCTGGTGCAAGATGATCCTAGGAAGTCGAAAACAACTTTCATCATGATGGCCCATTAAGAATAACTTGAAATTATGACATCCTTTATAAGCCCCTCTTCCATCTCCCTAATATCCACCCCATCATCATATCAATCATCACATCGATTAATCATCATATCAACCATCGCATCAATCAATCATCATACCAAACCACTCCCAAACACCAAACACCATACACAAACATGTCACCCCTCGAGATCCTCCAAAATGAGCTCAAAACGCTGCAACGCAAAGTCGTCAAATGCAACGAGCAACGCGCCAAGATCCGCCGCCTCATCTACAGCAAGCACCTTAGCCCCGAAGCCGCGGCACTCTTCAAGAAGGGCACCATCGCACGCCAAGGGGCCGAGGAATGGGCGGCGCTGAAGGCGAACGAGAAGACGTATACGGACTGGGCGGATGAGTATGGGTGTGCGATTGCGGTTGTGGAGGAGATGATTAGGGAGTTGAACGGCGTACCGGAGTTTGAGTTTGAAGAGTAAGTACTGTTGGTTTGGCTAGACAGAGGTAGAGGAGAGGTAAGTTGTTGTCGAGTATTGGCTTATTTGGCCGGGGGGGGGGGGGAGTTGCGAGGGAATTATATGGAAAAACGTATTGCTGGCTATAGAGAGGTGGTTTGTTGAAGCTTCGCAACCCGTTTATGGAGCGGCGTTTGTTGCAAGTGGATGGTATGGAAAATATGGGATGGGTTTTAGGGAATTAGTTGATCGAAGAATGCAATTAATAAAATGGTGCAGAAAATCAGTTTGTTTCCTTCCATTTCCAGTGATATTTCAGGATATTGAGATTAGTAGCCAGGAGGTACGTACCGAACTCTGTTAAGAAACATCCTCTCGGAGTCCAGTAAGTGAATCACCTATCCATTTTACCAGAAAAAGGCTACAGATGCACGTATGTATACAGTACATGTAGTTACAGTTATGTATACAATAGAGGTCAAGCGTTTCGTGGCGGAAACTTGGTATTAGCATGACACTAAGAGAGTATTTAAGGCCAATGCTTGCCTCCGAATCTTCTCACTGAAACATCATCCAGGATACATCCTTCTGTCGAATTACTCCTACAGTATGCTTCTACCGACGATTTTGCTAGAGAAATTCATGAAATATTCCAAGTCCCGAGGTATAGTCGGTAAAAAGTTGTCTAAAACCGAAACTCATGGGATATATGATGTGACGGTTTAACGGAGTTTATAAAAGGTCGTATGGTTCAATTCCAGATGTATAAATTCAATAACCTTGCTAGGGTTAGGGTTAGTGCTTACATGGTGTACGCAAAGTCTCAGGTAAAGTCTCTCAATTACTCGACTCCACCCATGGAAAGATTTCTAGCAGTTTCGGGCACTTTTTAAATCATCCATCACACGTCATATGGGTAACCACTTTGTGCATTCATTGACAACTTTGCCGACCGATTGATTTACAGGGTTTTTAGAGCCCGACACTCCCAGTACCACTGGCCTCGAAATCCACTCGGCGACGATACCAGACAACGATTTTATTACGATCGAGTCGTGGAAGCCTCAGGAACCACCACTTTTGAATCCCTTCGTATTCCAACACTTTTGGTTCAATCATCGATACTCCCCGGTCCCCGACATATCCGCTACCCCCGCTCCAAGGCCGTCAATGATAACCCCAGCACCTTCCAGCGCAGCAAGCCCTACAGCCCGACCACGTAAACCCCTTCTCGCTCCCCTCTCATATTCATAGCAGCGATTCCCCAGCACACATGCACACATCACACGCCATAGGCAGACTTTCTATTTTTGCCGTGGCTTACTTCCGAGATGGTAGAATCACCAGATCTCACTCGCCCCACACTAACCCCCCAATCAGCCACACAGCCTACACACATGCAGTGGGAGAAGCCTCGATCCCCACATCAGCAGTAAGATCCAGATCCTGATCGACCCGGCCCAAGCAAAAACTCTTTGAGAAAAAAAAATTCCCCGAGGGTTTAGCCTTGTGTGGTTTCCTTACTCGTTTTCTATTTATAGCAACACAGAAGCTCATTCATGATTGGATTCGCTAAACTTTTTCGTTACTATTTTTGCTGCGCCCAACGTTACGTTAACGGCTATTAGCTACAGTAGTGAATCGGACAAAGGAACTTTTGCACATCCCAGATAGGAATAATATAATCTTTATACGTGTTCCACTTCACATCCTTCTCATCATGAGGCTTTGTCTTGGCGGTCGTGATAGAGATAGGCGTTATCGGGGCGGTGCTATTTTCGGGGGTCAGTCAGTACATACGTAGTTTGTGATATGTAGTGGTGGATCGAGTAGTATTAATTGTGTGTTGGGGGGGGGTTCAAGAGGTGGGTGCAGAGTAAGTACTGTGTTAGCAAGTATCTTTGGGTTGAGCCTGGGGTAATATAATAATCAAAGGTGGTGTCCGGAAATAATATATACCTGTCTACTATATCTATCTGCCATATCTCTTCTATCTCACTCCTCAATTCAACGCCGTCTGAGCACAGCACCGGTGTATATTTTCCCACCGAGGTCCATACCAAATAAACTGCCCACCATGGAACCCCCACACCGCTCAAACATAAATGAATCTGGCACCACAAACCTCACCTCCGCGCCGTTAACACCCTACCACCCCCCCGTCCTCAACCTCGAACTCGTCGAAAGCCGCATCAACCTGCCCACGCGCAAACCCCGCGTTGCTCCCCGCCGCCTCACCACCCCCATCCGCCCACCGCCACAGTACACCCTCCACGCACACCAACCCCACCCCTACGGCGACTTCACCACCATCCCGCTCAACACCGCCGCCACCACCGCCGCCCCGGCCGCGCCATGCACCCGCCGCCGCGACACAATCCTCATCGCCGTGATGCTGTTCTTTGCGGTACTCGCGTTTGCGGGCGCGCTGGCGGTGTGTGTGCTGCTGTCGCTGTCGAATTATTCGGCTATGCGCGGGCCCGTGCCGTTGTTGATATTTGTGATGGCGGCGTTTCTGGTGGTGGCGGGTGGGCTGGTGGCGAGGGTGGTGTGTTTGTGGATGAGGATGAGGAGGAGTAGGTGTGCTGCTGCTGCTGCTGGTAGTGGTAATGGGGAGGGAGGAGATCTAGAGGGAGGGGTGAGGGTGGAGGTGATAGAGAAGTTGGTGGCGCCGCCGGGGTATATGGAGGGGTTGGAGGGGAGGGATCCGTTGGAGGGGGTGCCGCCGAGTGCGATTGGGAGGGGGGATTTGGAGAAGGAGGTGAGATAGGGTAGAGTGTGAGGAGGGAGGAGCTTGGGGGGGGGGGGGTGGACGAGGGACCGGGGAGGTGGGTGGGGGACATTCGCTTTGAGAGAGAGGGTTTCGTTTGTATATGAATATTGGAGTTTTGGATTGGATTGGATTGGATTGGATTGGATTGAATGGTTGGCGGGAAAGGTTTCGTTTGCAACCGTTAAACGGGCTCTCGAATTTTACTCACCTCTTGTCCCTCATTAAAAGAATGGGGGAGGAGGGTACTACACATATGCTTATACGAAGTAATTTCTTTTATTATTATTGTCTATTTTTTTCCTCTTATTTATTTTTTTTCTTTCATTCATTCTTTGATCTGTTAGCTGTTATTTAGCAATATCGATACTGAGAATTTATGGCTTTGATTTGACAAACAAACAAGAAAAAGGGCTTCTGTGTTTGTTCGTCTATTTGTGGCAGACGTTATGGTCATGGCGATTTGAATTTTCACAAAAGCTTTAAGCTTTGTGGGTGCGTGTATGGATCCGGTTTTATGAGACGAATCGCATATTTAGTTACTCGGGTACGTAAATAGCACATGATCCCTCTACTAGTGCGGTGCACTTTGTTACTGTATATAGATGACCTTATCTTATGTCATGACTAGCAGTGACTGTATCTGCACTTTTTTGGTCACATGAGATAGAACTTTTTATAGCGAAATTCAAAAAGAAAAGACTAATCTACTAATACACAGCCACATGAGCTCACTACACCTGTGTAGCAAAAACCGAATCAAGTCTAAAGAAGTCAAGTCTTTCCCATTTCCTATGAGGTAACTGCAAGCAAAAACGGCTTAGTATGGGTAGCGATGTTTTCGGATAACGATATGTAATCACCAACTATCACTCGCCATGACACCCATCACTCAGCACTAACCCAAATCGCATCAACGCCCACCACCTGACCGTTCCCCGAACCGACCAAGCTGCCGTGTTCGGTCATAGAACGAAGAAAATGGGGCATCCCGTCAGCTCTGCCGTACCTAAGCTTCGTGTCGCCCGGCTAGTATCGCGATGGGTGACTGCGCGAGAATCTCGGGTACTGAACTCTTTCTTTTTCTTTTTTGAGGGGGGGGGGGGGTGGATTCTTGGTTGAGCTTTGGTGTATGTGTTGCTTCTGCTATGTATGTACTTGGTCCAGGTGGTTGTCTAGATATATGAGTGGGATTGTGGCGGGTGTTAACAGAAGGTAACGATCGCTTAGACACATAAAATCACTCGCCCCCCAAACCCAAAAACACTGCACCGGTAATGAACACGATACAATACATCCATTAACATTCTCACTCTCGCTAAAATCTCTAGTTCTCTAAAATAAATATAAGGCAATGGTTAATTTATATTTCAAAGTACGTTCGCAAAATAAAAAAAATAATGCAATACGTACGTACGCGGCACCGGTCTTTCCCCGGTTTTTTTTTTTTTTTTTTTTTTTGTACAGACAAATATTGAAAATATATTATACGGTATCTTTATAATTTAGATGCACTAGTGTATGTATTCTAAGAATACAAAAAAAGCGCCCGGCCTCTAAATCCTCCAAAGTTACGAGATATCTCCTCCAAAAGTTACGGCACACACACACACACACACACACACACACACATACACATCTTGATCTCACAATTCACCCAACAGACCTAATCAAACCAAAAGAAACTCGCTTTACATTCACAATGGTTCCTGTTATTATATTGTACGTTGGATCGTCCGCCCCCGGGTTGCCCCCCGCCCCGCGGCCTTGATTTGGTTTTTTTACGTCCCTGGGGTGTTCGGTTTTTTTTTTTTGGATATAAATAGCGACTTGCATTGTTTTTTGTCTTCTTTATAGAAAGATTAGTTTTTTTATCATCAATTTCAATGGATAGTCATAGGCTTTAAAATATCAAGCAGTGATGGGCACAAGACAAAAAAGGTCTCGAGACTTTGTCCCGAGACAACGAGGCAAAACAGAACATAGCCAGAAAGAGAGAAGACAAACAAGGTCACGAGTGATCACCCGGCCATAATCTCCATATCAGCTTTAAAATCTGGTTTTGATTGCTTCCCCAAAAAACACTCTGTGTAAAAAAGTATCATTGTGAGGTAAACTGGTATGGAGGCCGGCCAGGTGACCCTAACCCTAAGTCTCGAGACTTTGCACAATACATGGCTCAAGTATTACCAATTCCGAGACTACCTTCTATTGTCCACGGAAAAAGACGAATCGTACATACTCAAGTATTGTATTGTTTTATCTTATACCCATCACTATATCAAGTAACTTCAAACTGAAAAAGAAAAAGCCTTTCCACATCTACGCAACACTAAATTCAATAATCTCTTCTATATAGCAGGCTCATATATATATATAAACCCCCATTCTAGTGTTAATGTGCTCATAAACCGCCGAGTCATGAAATCCGAGTGATATCTCATGATTAAGCATCTCACCCAAAGCCACATAAAAAAATAAAATTAAAAAAAATCTATTTTTTCTCCCGGGACCAGAGTTCGTCTTACAGATATATTAATTAATCAATTCAACGTAAAATTGAAATTAAAAAAAAATCCATTGTAAATATTTCAAAAAAAAATGAACCGTAGGGTTAGGGATTCTCAAATTATATCAGGGTTAGGGTTCATACTTATAACCAAACCTCCAAGCCCCTCTAGATATTACAGCCCCCCAACTTTCTAAGCCCATCCGATAGCAGTGCCTGAGTCCAACAGTTCTCACAATACAAGATACCACAAATCAGCACAATTGACATTTCACCCTGCATCCATTGAGATAAGGCGGCTATCCCAGAGACACACACAAACCCGCAGTTTGATCACCATGCGTACACGCGACGTTACAGCCCTGAAAACGGCCGCCGTGATAAAAAAGTGAGACTAGCTTCATGATTCAGGACTCGCTCGATAAGTGGGAAATTAAACCTTCCTCTATCTGCAGAAGAATTGATGTATGCCTTGAAACTCAAAACAAGTTAGACCGGGACAGCTGATAACGAGGTAGCTGGCCAGGTGCTATGGAACAGATGATGCCACAGCACTCAATACACGTAGCTGCGCAGGTGTGGAAAGCCTCATGATATCTGAAAATAAACCAAAGGTACGTGAAGCTCGCAGTGTTTTATTCGGCTGTTGCTAGCGCATGGGTCGCTTTCATTTATTTCAACGCCTTAAGCGTTGCATATCTCTCTACTCGAAGCTAGTTAGCTGCAATGACGGGATGTGATGTATAATGCAGGAACAAAGTAAAAATCATTTCGGGGGGGAAGCTTGATTGTATTGACCTCTCAGCCTGATGTGATAATGCGAAGTGAGACTGCAGGTTTCATCTTTTTTCCTTCTCTTTTGAAAAGTGGAGATTTGTGCTGCAGTGTACCTCGCAGCTGACACTACTGAGTGGAGAGCTTGCTTTTGGTCATGCGATCTCACTCGATTGGTTGTTCCCCGCGTATTATGCAAGGGGCACAAAAAAGCAAATATAAGGTCGATCAGGAACAGAACTTTCGAATGAACACATACCGTTCCATGAAACACAATGCAATGCAGTGCTCGATGCATGCACGAGAAAGAAGGCGGATCGGATTAGAGCACCAGATTACGCGTTTTAGGATGAATTAAACGTCTAGTTAGAGATGAGGCAGATCATCTGTAGTAGTTCCTCATTGTTCGCTACGTATCCGCTGCTTGCTTGCAATACGCATGCTTATACTAAACATTGAACTATCATGGGTTTGAAATAACGTGCCTGTAGCGTAAATTGGGCCATTGAGTTGGCTGATTAGACATTGAACATCTGGTCAGTTGACGAGAAGGTGCATCCACGAAACAACGCCTTGATCGTCGGTGAATGACAGGATTTACAACGCATCCGCACTCTAAGCCTTCGTTTATTCCATGAAGACTTCTGAAGCTACTGAACACTTCGGTAGACGGCGTGCCTGGAGTGGAGCGCTGGAACTCCGATATCGTACTAAACCAATTGGTCAAATGGGGGCTAAAGATAACTGTAAATATCCAGCCGTACATATTAATGCATCACAATTTCTATCACCTCAATCGACGTCTTGGCGATTGGACTAAACAATCTATGTCAAATAAACACCAGTTTTTGAGATGATGAACCAGTTAATATGCAACCCCGCACAATAGACCGCCTCAACCAGAATGTTCAGCTTTAATCCCATCAAGGTCATCGCTGATTAATGGCCTCATCTCGGGCGGCCCCCCAGAGTAGTAGGGCTATAGGTATTTACACATGCGCTGTTCATCGCAACCCCGCGCAGCCCCATGAGCATGAGGGAGTTTCAGGTACCATTAACGGAACAGAGAATCTTCATGTTCATTGGCGATGGCCTCGTGAGCTGAAACCTATTGAACGTTTTCTGTCAACCACCACCCGACAAGGATAATTTAAGGCCCAGAGGTGCATGTGGTGTGGCTGAGCAACACCATGGCCAGCGAATCAAGCAGGGATTAGCTGTGACCCCGCCACTACACTTGTTCGCCCTGGGCCGAAGATAGACAGCCTTGTTATTGCAATGCTGTAATTCCAGGAGGGGCGCAACGTAGGTGATGTGGCCCTGACTCTCAGCGTTGTGAAGTGTCAGTAGTCTAGGTAGATTTCTAAGCATGGGTTAGGGTTATGAAGTGCTCGTATTAGTAAGTAATTATCACGAGCGAGTGACAATATATGATCAGTTTTCTATTGGCTTGTAAGCATTGGCTACGCCGGGTATAAGATAATGTCTCTCAACTGGGTCCAATAATTGATAACTGCAGTTGATTAGTTGTGTAGCCTAATCAAATAAAAACACTTACGCTTGAATCAAGCTATTCCCCCTGCGGTAAAGTTCTAAAATAGAAATGGTCCGATCAGGACAGGCATTGGGCTCAATCCAAGCCAGTGGTTTGGTAGCCAGCTCCGGTCCCACAAGGAGAATAAGTCGAATGCCAGGAAGGATATTCTATCGGTAGCCTGATCCACTTGCTGGCTCTGTGTATCACCTCCACCACCACTGAACGTTTGAAGTTCACAATAGATTCTTAGACACCGCGCATATGGTGCGAACATTTAAGATCACTTATCGTGTGGGGAGGTACACCACCATTCAACAGCAGACAGGTAGCAATTCGTCCCCGTTAGAAGTATAGTGCGTATCTGCCACCAATTCGTTTCTAGAGTCGTCAAGTCCAATTACATATATGTCTAGACGAATAGACTAGACGGAGATACATTCTCATCCTACACACGGGGTACTTTTTGAGTTGGTTTCAGTATGAGCGCGCTCATCGAAACGCGCCGTCCATGGCTAGGCTACCCTACCAAGTGAATGTTCACTCAATGGAACAGAGTAACGAGTAGATTAGTGCACTAGCAGTAAAAATGGGGGTATTTCTTCCATGTGGTATATCCCCACTTTTAAGTTGACATATCCCCGTGGATTTCCTAGTCTTGGGGCAAGAGTATTTGGTAGCTCCAATGGACTGCTTTTCAGTCCAGAATATCTGCCGGAAAAGCCTTGCAGGCCTGAGCGAGAGGCATTACCGATAAATGCGTCATTGAAACCCGTGTACTAGCTGTAATCTTTGTTTTAGATTTGAAGGTTGGTTGCAGAAAATAAGTAATCAAAGTGCCTGGTCCATATGATCACAATTTAGAGACAAATATACTAGCAGTATAGAAATCCGACATGTTTCTTAAGATTTAGGCCAGCATCACCACCGGCTTGTTCATGTGATATGAAGCAGGGGATACATGAATCTGCTTGCACACGGAGTTCTCTAGCCATTGACGCATGCAGAGAACTTTCGTCTTGCTTTAACCGTTTTTAATGTTTCTTCGACCTAAACTGGCGCATATATCAAAGCCTTGACTTGAGCTGGGCTAAGTGATAGTATCTCTGCCAGTAAAACTGCCAATTGAGCAAGCAATTCACATCTCATGAAGCAGTATTCATGTCTAGGAGATATCAACTTCCACCGGAGAATACAAGGAACTTGATACTCTAGTCCAGTCCAGTCCACAAGAGGATCAAAAACCAGTCACCTCCGGGCCAGATCCAAAGACGCATTGGTGATGCTAAGATAAGGTAGCATGATTCATGCCAGAGCCCACTAATTTCTCTGTTTGAACAGTGAAGGAACAGCTGTTCAGTCTGACACCAAAACCAGTTCAACTCCGAGGCAGCAGTGATGTGTCCATCCGTTGTGCGTTGGTTTCAGGAGTTGGAACATGCAACCTAATGTACCTGACGATATGTGGCTATCAGATCTGAGTTGTGCGAAAGGCCAGCAGCAGTTGACTCTCAAGGCGCTCACAAGAGTTTTCATTTCGTTGTTGCTGTAATGCGTGGTGATGAAATGGGGTCTTTTGTAGTGGTGGGTGTCGTTGTTGTGTTGGGTGATCGTTGATGGTGGTTGGACAAAGAGTGCACTCTGTTTCGTTCCTCGAATAGGCTAGTGTTCTTTTTTACACTTTTCAAATTCTCAGCCCGCTTCTTAACCTAACCCTACTCCTATGCTTATGTACATGTAGGTTTGTATGCTTTAATTTTGCACGTGCCCTAGCCCAGCCTCCTTAGGATTGTAGCTCATTGGCTTCATACACGACGTTTATTTCTAGTAATAAGATTCATGATTTTATTTTGTCTACCGCTCTGAATTTAGAGCATTATAAATATTTATAAATACATAAACGTACATATTTACACTTATTCAGCCTTCCCATCTAAATTTTACATAAAATATCCTCTAATATATCATGCATTTACATCATGAATACGGCCACCATAGCTGCTGCAGCAACGATAACGCTCGTTCCCTTCACCGTCGACGCACCAGAATCGTAGTATCCGGATCCGCCTTGTCCAACCAGCCCTGTTGGCGATACTGTGGTGCCTGGAGCCCCTGGTGCACCAGAACCTAGAATACAAAAAAATTATATTAGCTCTGTATCATGTAGTTTTAAACCAATACACATGACATACCAGTAGGACTAGGGCCGGAGCCACTCTGCTGCACAGGCTGCAGAGGCTGTCCGTTGGGCCCAATGATGCTCGCTACGGGAATCAACCCATTCGCACCCTGGATAACGGGCTTCCCGCCTGGTCCAAATACTAGCTGCACTGGCTCCGGACCGTTAGGGCCCTGGACAACTGGTGTAGCTCCTACACCATTTGGTCCGGGGAGGATCTGGACTACGACACCCCCGGCGGCGGAGGATGAAGCAGGTGAGGGCGCGCCAGTTGCAGAAGGGACAGGGCCAGCTCCGGATCCGGAGGCGATGACGGAGGGGGTGGGGTTCACATTGATGTTGACATTAGTTGTGGCAATGGAGGAGGCTGCGGAGGCAATGGCTGTTGGGAGGGGACCAGTGCCTGTGAGTGTTGGTACGCTAGTGCCTGATTGGGCAGCAGTGAGGGCGACAGCACTAGCGGCTAGGAGGATTCCAAATGATGTTCTCATAGTGAATTTTGGGGTTTGTGTGTAATTAAGTAGAGTGATACTAGTGGTGAGCTTTCAAACGGAAATCTGGTTGGTAAACGAATGTGAAAGTTTGAGGGGACGTGTGGGACTCGAAGAATGAGAAAATTTAGACAAGAGAAATATCCAAGAGCTGGGATTGAAGTCGGGGATTTTATACAATGATAATAAAGCGCAGTACGTGACAATGACTATAGCTAGAGCTAGAGGCCAAAAGTTTAGGCAAACGAATCATATCATTTCCTCGTCATACTAGAGAAGCCCGTCGTAACAACTCCAATTAGTTGCGCTAGCGTTGTACTAGCAGGAATACTAGTCTCCCTCAACAGGAATGGATTTGTGCTGCTACTAATAGAACGCGACACAACCTTTCCTTCTTTGTAGGATTATTACGCCCGTTTTGGACAGATGCTGTCAAGTTGGGTTCGTGAACCACCCAAGCTTCCCCGAATGCGTAACGCCTTCCAAAACTACTGTAAATTCGGCGAATTTTTGCTCACGAGTCGTACTTGGGAGGTCGCGTCACTAGCTTATCGATTTGGGAGTGGTTGTGTTTCCACTTAATTACGACAATCTACTTTGAAGCTACTTGAGACCCCGGAAAAGGGTCGAAAGATACTATTTATATTACAAGAAAGGCGGATAACACATCTACTAATAGACAGCTCTTCTATTTTACTTAATATGTCCCCACGGTTTCCTTTTCCCCACGAAAGTTCTTTGGGTGCGCAAGTGCCGTTTCACCTTGGTGCGCTGGCGAATAGCACTGGAGCGCCTGGTGATGGCGTTAACCTAGGATTTATCGCAATTCGCGAACCAGACCTTAAGCTCGAATGCCTCGATCTTAATATTTCACAGGAAGTGGCGACACGAGTAAAAGGTCGAGCCTTCTCATCTCAAAACAGCTCGTCCCAAACTTTACCGGATGCTTAGATCTGGTGTTGCCGCGAGTGATTGGCCATGACTGGTCAAACTGATCCCGAGGAATGAATTCAACTACCGTCCTACCACCGTGGATTCTAATTAAATCCCAGCACCCAAAGCCCTCGGGGACTATTGGCCTTGGTTTGCATATAATTCTGTATTACAAATTAAAAAACCTAACCAGGTTACATCACTGGCATATATTCTTCGAGAAGCTATCGATATGCCATAAGTACAATATGTGCACATAAGCTCCTGCATTCAGCATGCAGAATTAGCCCGAACCCCCACGTAGCACCTGCAAGGGACCATGCTGTCTTCCATTCCCGTATAGCCGAGCATAATCCGAGAAAATGTACATACATGCGTTGCGGCATTAAACAGTTAAGGTTTTATTAGACTCTGCACGCGACAGACATCTGATTGTCAATGTTCTGGCATCATGCATGCCCTGGCTGGTGGGAGATGCCGAATGGTACGGCTGTTTGGATAAACAACGGATATAGATTTGATGTGATACAAACTCCTGTATAAGGTTTATGTGGGGAAATTCGAATGGCTTTTCATATTCGGTCCATTCCCGGGATGTGCGCAGGGTAGATGGAGGAGGCGAAAGTGATTGATATATTGCAATATAAGGCCAGAGTCATGATAGAGTATTTTTATATCATGTTACACACGTAACATATTGAGGAGAGAATATTTGAGTTGCGGAATTATCAGTTACGGGGACAAAAACGATCATTGCATTGTGTCCATCCGTGGCATCTCCAGCTGGTGATAGGGCCTGGCAAGTTGGTTGCATGATCAATATTTCTTTTCTTATTTTATTTTTTGCTGTAGCAGATCTATTGAATCGAGACCTACCATATGCACACTTCTGATAACTTTTATGTAGGTATGTGGGAATTGCAAAAATACGACGTGTTACACTCGCCAAGACTAGTTCTCTCAACCGTAACCGTGCCTTTGTATCTTTACTCCACCTCCACCATCAACACCACCATTGACATCATCATCGTCATCCCTCGACTTGAGCTCGAGCTTACTCATCTACAAAGACTTCAATTGGTTTTGTTCCATGGATCCAGTCATATAGGATATATAGGCGCAGGCTTACTGCGCACAGCTTTCACGTGCTGGTCCAGCTGTTTGCACGTCTGCCATAAGAATAGCACAGCAGCGACTAGGCAGTAGTACTCAATGTGAGTCTTCAACTCTGATTCAGAGTGATATATCATGATTCGATTCACAGTCACCTGACCTTGTCGTGTTTCTAGCCTGTTCAGGCCATCAGCTTTAGTGGTTGAGTTGCCAAGAATTAGTTGGATTAGCCCCAAAGACGGAGATCAATCGCCATCCAATAAACCTCACTCTGTCCCTCGGTAGTAAAACGACCCTTTCACCGACCGAAAGAATTGTAATTTGCGCAAAAAAAAACCCCATTTGACAGCGAGCGGGGAGCAAACCGAGATCGAGAGAAACCCCCGCCTGAAAAAATCTTTTCTTAAAAAAAAAAAAACCTTGCGCTCGTGACAAGAGCCTTCAAGCTGAATCACGGTTTCTGGACTTGGATTTTCGCTTACGCCCCACTCACTGTTCACCGTACGGGGCATGTACAACCCCCCATAATGGAATTTCGCGGCGTCGTGAACCCCCGGCAAGGTCAACCAACTACCTGCCTACATGCCTACATATCCAGGAGGGGGAGAAATCATAGACTCATATGGAACAAGATCAACCAGCTGGGTGGCGTATCTATCGATTATGATAATGCGTGCTTGTGACCTGATAAAATTTTACCCCCCTCTCCCCAGCTTGGTTCAGTCTTTGGAATATGATGCTGGGCTCCCCCCTCACCGCCGCCATCAAATCTGGTTTTTCGAAATATCGATAGCTGGACTGGTCCTTTTTTTGATTCCCCTCCTTCCACTAGAGGGCTATCCCATCCGATGAAAGCCTCGTCATCGAGATATTGGACATACTACAAGTGTACCTTGCAGCGAGATTACGATAGGAAGCCTGGGGTACATACTCTATCAACCTATCTACCTACATAGAAACTGCATGCATCGCCGGCTAATTGACTGAGGCGAACCGATGAACGGAGCTGGGTGGTGGTGGGGAGAAAATAAAGCAATCAAGCCTAAGCTTACTACTTTAAATGAATTTATTTTCTAATTTCCTCAGGGGAAAGTCGCTCATGATCGCGTTCTCAAATAGGATCACAGCTGTGGCACAGCACGGCCCCAACATGTAACGGCCCGGTCCCTTGAAGGAAACACTTTCAACCTATGCGTTCCTGGCCTGAACTTGTACCTGTCACTCCACTGGTCGCTCTCTCGAGAGTTTAGTTGGTTGGTTTGGCTTGTAGAATAGAGTAGGTAGGGCAGGGCAGGGCCTGGACTTTGGAACAATTTCCGCCTGCCGATCAACGGGCCAAATTTATCAAGCAGAGTGGGAGATGGAGGGGGAACTATTTTTCGCATCGGTCGATACGTATACGGGTCATATCCTTCCAGTCATGGCCGAGACCAAACAACCAAATAAACAAAGGGACAAGCCGGGAAGCTTTGCGGCTGTTCTCTCTCTCTGGCTGACCGCTGGCTGACCTATTACGTTGGAGATCGATCACCATCCCGTGACTGAACCGAGCTGCAAGAGCTAATGCAAGAACAAGGATGTGTGCGCCGGCAGTCTTCTTGCGAAAAGCTTCGTCGTTCGCAGTGAATCTATTTTGCATTCTCGAGACATTACATAGGGGGGAAGGTGCGAGTCTTGATGTTCGATGTGGTTGCGTGAGTTGTGTGAGTCCGTGTGGAGAACTTGCCAACAACACCACCGAGAGTCACCAATTATAGAGCCTTGACGGTTTTATTTCTTTTCATTACCGAGTTGATGCCGAGTCTACAGCCTTCGGGGCCGGGGGAAGTTTGACAGCACATTGCCCAAGAGTTCTAGGCCTCTTTTCGAATTTCTGCAGGACAGTCGGAGAGAAAAGAAGTTGACGTGACGAAACGGGGCCGGGGGGTATTTGATGTGATATCCGGCGCCAAGGCACTCCAGACTTGTTCCTGACATGAATGAGCATGGCCCTTTTGTGGTTTTTGTTTTTTTGGAAGGGTGCTTTACGCGATTATGGGCTTGATCGTGTCCAGACTTTTGAGTGGTGATGTGCGCTGCTTCAAATCTGGATAGCCAACAGGCCCCCCTGATCTTCGTCAATTCAGACAGGGCTGATGAAATCGCACGCACCGCACGAATTGTACCTTAGATTAGCACCTGATAACTATAACGTCTATTGATATAGGCAGGGCTTTTCTGTGGGCATGTAGGTACCTACATAGAGACGAATTCCCCTTCCCCTTCTTCTGCTTCTTCTCCCTATCAAGCAATTCGGAGGAGCCCGATCTCCCAATCCAATGCGGAACTTCGGACCGGTACTGTGAAGGGAATTCGAATTCAGCCACGTGCCTGAATATCACCAGCCTGCACAGCCCGAAATTTGTGTGTGCGGGTGTGTGTTGTATGTATGTATGTGTGTGTGTTGTGTGTGTGTGTGTTCCATGTTTACACGAAATTTGTTTCTCGCTTCACGAAATAGTGACATGTAGGAAAACTGTTGACTGAGGAACACCAAACATATCATATCAGACCGTTCACTTACCCCTGCGTGTGCTGAAATACGCAGTACGAAACGAAACGTCGCACGCGGAATTGAAATGAAATGACCACTTCGATCTATGGATTCTATTAGGAACTAGGTAATCTCATATCGCATTGTCCCACAAACTCAGGCTCACTTAAGCCATACATCGAGTTGTTTCCTTATGTAAACATTACCGCTACATGTATGTGACCTCGACACGCATAACCCTAGCTAGCCAGGTAAGCAGTAATTTATGTAATTGGATGTTGTATGTTCTCCGCACTAACTATGTCGTGTGTGCAACATGCATCAACCTCAAAATCAACTATCACCAAGTATCTTTAACTACAACAACAAAAAATACTCCCATCATCACCACAATCAACCAAGATCTACCGGAGCAATTGCACCTTCTCGAAAACCCCCTATATCCACCCAAACCCTTGCCTTCCCTTCCGCGCCCCTTAACTCCACCAATAACTGACCGCACATCAAAAAAATAACCGCCGCCTCGCACCTAGACCTCCTAGACGCCGCGCCGTTAAGGGCAGAAAAAAGCAAAGAAAAAAGAAAGAGACAACAACAAACAGGATAACAATAAATACTCCGGTCTGGGCTTTCAGGAACAAGAGACAAACACTGACCGGGGATCGGGATTTGATCGAGGGGTTAAGGTTGGCAGCTGGCTCGGCTCCCGCTCTAGAGCGTGCGAGCGGTGGGTGCGGTGCGGTGCTATGCGGTGCGGTGGGTACTAGCGGAGCAGCAAGAGGGGGGCGGAGAAGAAGAAGGGAGGGGTAATCGAATTAATACTCCGGGATGAGGATGGGCAATGGGGAGGGGGGAGCTAATTAAAGTAATCATCTAAACTAAAATAAAGTTGTGATGAATCACACATGTGATTCGTGAAAGTGTTCTAGGCTATAGTTTTGGGTGCGATATGATATCTGGTTCTAGACTGCATGTGCATGTTACCTGGGTACGTGATAGTAGAGGAATTAATACTCCGGTTCTTGGGTACATGCTGCCCATGGTACTAAGGGGGCTGTATGTGATTGACGGCCTTGTCGGTTCCTTGGTCGGTGCCTGATTGCCTGGTTGACATCAGTGATTCCATCACGCTAGATCGTAGGTTATGTCCTCAGGCAATTATGGGTGGCAGTCAGTGTTTGAAATCTTGTCATCCCTCCTGAAGAGGCTTTTCAAAGCTTTGTAAGTATTAGAGTAGTTCGTCTGATAATCAAGCTTCAGTCAGTTTGCTAGCCTTTCCATCAGGTAAATAATTAGCAATTATTCAGTCTGTAGTCTATTAATTATTTTATCAATTCTCATCAGTTGTCGGTTTGTCGATTCCATCAGTTATCGGTTCGTAGATAGTTGATGCATGAACCAGTAGCTGCGCAGACCAGGACCAGTTCAGTCGACCAGTTATTATTTGGTCGCCTAGTTCGCCAGTTCCTTAATTTCTTATTTCCTTAATTCCTCAATCCTTAGGTCCTTAATCGCCAAAGATAGCAATATGCACTGGCACGCAATCATCTCTCCATTTCCAGAAGACCAGTCATTTTTCCCCTCAGCTGTCAAATGTCAGAAAATTCCAAAATAGATCGACACACATGGCATCACACGTTCCAGGCCCCACAAAAAGGATGTGCACATGGACCAGACCCCTCTAGACTTGCAGATGTCAAGCCAGTCAATGTCTGAGAGTCCCCCATCCATGAAACAAGGAAACAATATCTCAAATAGCGGTCCGAGTCATGTTCCGTTTCGTTCCGTTTCGTTTTGAAAGTCCTAGTCCGCAATTTTGTTTTGTTTTGAAAACCAATATGATATGTGCTGGTACTGGGTATGCCAAGAGGATAGATGTTAGTCCTGGTAATGGAAGTGTTGATTTTCGTATTTCGTTAGTTTAGCTCATTGTTTCGAGTTGTTTCAATCGTTTGCTCGTTGTGATGAACAGCTGTCGCTCCAATCCGGATCCACAGCGACGTCCACCTGTCCAACCGTCCAATCCAACCTCTGTCTTCCTGTCCCCCTGCTCCTGGTAACATCCGCCCCCAATCTGTCGTCTCTCATTCCCCAATGCATCCAAATCCCATTCCTGCAGTCTTTCTTTCCCTTGCTCCTCCCAGTATCCTCGTCCTCGTGGTATCCACCGCAGTGCGTCCTCTCTCCCCCACTTCTGTCCATCATCATCATCAAAAAGCCAAAAAGCCCCCACGCCCACCGCAAATCATAACTACCGCACTAAGCATCACTAAACTGCGTCCGTCGCGTTGCGTTACGTGCCGGCGGCGGGCACTAGCACACACTAGTCCTACCACGGTAACGCTCAGAGTCACATAAGGTTTAGCTCAGGGTCCGTTCGCCGGGCCGAAATGACGACCTTGAAATTGCTTGCTTGCACGGGCGGGAGGGAAGGAAGGAAGGGAGGGAAGGGAAGGGAAGGGTGTTAGACTGAGTACTACTACTAGCAAAAATACTACATACTACTAGGTGGGACACGTTATCTCACTCGGTTGAGCTAGTTTCGCGGGACGTGGTACCGCTGTAATTGCTGTCAACTTATTTTTTTTCTTTCCCTTCTTTCTTTCTTTTCAGGATGTACCTGCAGCGCAGTAGCTAGCTTTTTTGTGAAGTTTCTTCGGCTACTGTTGCTGTATCGTGTTGTCTCTAGTCTAGTAGCGTATTTTTTGGTTTGAGACGCCGGTAGTGGTGCGCGTGGTCGTGGTGGTGGTGGTAATACCGTAGCTGAGGTGCCGGGAGTTGTGGCTGTAGAAAAAAGAGACCCTCTCGTGGAATTGGGTTTGGTACCGTGGTGGAGGTACGCATGGTGAAATTGAGTTCCTCGTGGGAAAAAGAATCTAGAGTTTAGGTATCGAACAATAACAGTATTGTTTCCTCGTGGTCTAGTTCTTTCTGCTCTATTCCGCGGATATTAATTATCCGTTTCTGGACTCCATTGACTGTCCTCCAGCTAGTTATTCCGTACGTTCCTGCCAATATCATATAAAACGAAACGTTTCCGTTCCGGTCCTGGGGGGGATCTAGAGCTACGTTCAGTTAATCCACCGCGCAGAACCTCACGATGGGGTGCCACAATATCTCCACCCCCTCAGGTCAAGTTAGTGATCCCCCCATCTCCAATATATTAGACTTTGACTTCAACACCCCCGCAAACCACAGCAAAGCGGTCAAAGTCCGAGTGCAAAAGTGAGACCCATCGGTGAAGAAAAAAAAAGTCCAAAATCCGACAAAATGAGCTTCTGGCCCTCCGTTAAGTAGTTCTACGCCCCCATGCTGGGTTAGCGCCCATCGTCAATAGGTATTGTTGCTAATTTCACCAAATTAGTAAAATTAGCATGCGGCTCCTGAGAAACATGTTTGAGGGCAAGGGTCAGATTGCGTTGCTGCATGTCATCCGGGCCGATGTAGCTTAAAACAGAGTTATTAGTTGCACATGTTGCCTATGTACCCCTCCCTTGGGGGAGGGACCGAAATAGCAGTTGCGAGTTAACTGGCATCGGGTGAGAGGAGTAAAATGGGTGGGAATAGGAAATGTGACGAGACTAAAAATAGATGTTATGGTGTGTTAATCCCGCATAATACGCCATATGTGGTGATCTGTTATGTTGTAAAATTAGGCACCTACTGATTCAGGGTAGATATATGTGAGGTAGGTTCCAGGTGAGGTAAATTATGTCGGTATATTTTTGTTGGACTTGCAGATGGTTGGCCCAGATTGATTTCCCACATTGGGGAAGGGAGGGGGTGCGAAATCGAAGCGGGGTAAATTTAGGGGTCAATTAGTTTTAATATAGGACAAGGACAGTCTATGTTGGGAATAATTAGCTTCATCACTCACCTCAAGCCGCTGTGGGACCAAAAATGCACCTTATCGAGTGAGGGCATATGTCGATCTCTCGTCCTGCTCGCAAAAATAGCCACACCTTTGCTTGACTGTTGGGTTTTTTCCCTAATGGGGGGATTTTCCCGTCCCACCCACACAACCATGCATGCAGGGTGTCTTGGCGATGGGCATCGTGATGGGTAAGTTTGGTGTGGTGTGTGTGTGTTGCTATTTTGCGTTGCGGCACACCCTTCGACTCGCATGGCATGGTGTGGGCGGGCGCACAGACGGAGCGTGGTCCACAAGCGAGGAATCTTGGTTCGTTCGCTAAGACGGGAGTCGTCATAGGATGGATGGATGGATGGATGGAAAAAATTAATGGGAGGGTTGCCTTGCCTGGTAAGGTGGTAAGGAGCCTGCTGTAATGGGGTGGGTGGTCCATGGATAGAAGTCGAGGGTCTGGTCAGTCAGGTACGCTTTTCTCTTGACTGATGCATGTTTCGAGAATTGAGTTGAGCCCTTCGCCGCCCGTTTCACTGTTTCCTGGTAACGAATATTTTCTCTTGCAGCTTATTCCTCCATCCCCCCCTTTCCCAATCCCCACCCCCCCCCCCCCCCCCACCACCACCCAGGCCAGAGTATATCTCCTTACCCAGTAAGATGCACCTGAGGTCCTTCCCGTGTATACAGATATCGCCATACAGCAAGTATGGTTTAACGTTTCGTCTGGAAACGGGACACCGTTAAGGCTTAATTACACTCAGCAGTGGTAGTAAGTAGCAGCGATAATAGCAGTTGCAGTAGTAGTGGTAGCAGTAGCAATAATAGTAGGTAGCAGTGGTACTATCTCCTACGTAGATACCGTACCGTAGATTAATTTTAACATCTCTTTGACACCTGTACTGTATCCACGTAGTACTACACGAATAGACTTTCCAGATCAATACGGCCAACCACCATCCTCAGCTTCCTTCCCCCCCTTTGAAACTGAAGCAACAATAAAGCATAATCTGCAATCCCCTCCCGAAGAACCAGACACCGGTAGTCGTTTCGTGTCTGCCACCAGCTACCGGTCCTCGGGAATTCAACGTACATACTGTACGTACATACATGGTGTATCTACATACACCATAATCGTGGTTGCTTCTATTCTTCTTCCTCTAGGCGCTACCCATAATAAGTGCGGCTGATAATTAGCCATGCCTATGCCATGCCATATGCAAATTACAGGGCCCCCCTCCACACCCCCCCCAAACCCAATTCGACCCCCCTCCCTACAGGTTCATTCTCCTGCTCTATGACGACCACACAGGGTAGCTTTTCTTTTTCCTGTCTCACACGGCGGAAATCGGATCAGATCAACAAAGCGGAAATCGGATTCGCTTCGGGAGTGTCAAGCCAAATGCAAGCAATGCGAAATGAAAAGAAAAGAAAAAAGAACAACAAGCCGAGACCCTTATTACGTGCTACTAGGTAGAAGGGCCTGGACGGGGTAAGGACATTTGTTTGAGTGTGTGTGTGGATGTGAGATTGCGAAATGATGCGAACGAACGAGCCATCCTCATCCAAACATCCCACCAACCATAATTTGAGGCCTCGGTGGAAATCTCGCGAGAGAAGGAAATAACTAGTTGAACTTACCTACTACCACCCACCGCCCTACCACAGACAAAAGGAAAATGAGGATATGGCCTAGGTTACGGCAGAGCCTAGAACAGGACCGCTATGAGTCGATCGGTCGGTCTTTTCGTTCTCACTCGCTGGCACTGGCTTTCACTTATTTTGCTTCCCTGTCTGTAAACTAACTAGTTGGGTAGCTCTAGCGATATCATATCATATCATATCGATTAGAGTAAAATAAACTAAGAAACTCGGACGCCCTCGCCTGCAGTTGCACGCTCGTACGTCCGGCAGCCAAACGCACCCTGTTCCCCGTCCGTCCAGCAGGCAGATCGCCCACCAATTCCACCACCCACCCCACTCGGAAGCTGCTGCACGAAGGGAAGGGAAAGGGAAGCTGCCTGCCTGCCTGCTGCACAGGGTAGCAGGTAGGGTAAGGATGAACCCCTGCCACCTGCATGGACTTATTTTTGCCCACAAATATAAACAGAATAGGAAAAAAGCAATCGGACGTAAGAGAAAAATGTACTCGATATAGGCCTTCTACTTTAGATATGGGCACTTATGCCTTGGCCAAATGAGGCACAACTGCAGCTGGCGCTGTGATTCGAGGGACGATTGGCACCTGCTGCCACGTGCACGGCGGATTTTGCTTTTTTCTTATTCTTCCTTTCTCGCTCTCTTGCCTTTGGGGGAGGGGGAGAGGAGGAGTAAAGGCTTCTGGATGGCTTGATCTAATCTCGAAATTGCCGTGAGTGAGGGGGAGTGAGGGGAGAGGTCGACGGAGGAGAAGAGACATGGTTGTGGTTACTTTACAGATTCAACCACTCACATACCCAGGGCTTCATCCACGCATCGGGAAACCCACTTTCGCGCAGTGGAATACACACTCTACCAGCAGAAGGGCTAGCCAGTTCTGTAGCTCATTGAGAGATGGGTCTGGTGGGTGGGAGATGGGATGGGTTATGGTTGGGTTGGTTGGATACTACACACCTACATACATTTTGAGCACTCACTGCTTCTACTGCTGCTAATTGTAGGCTGCAGGTGTGGTACATACAGCATTAGATACTCGAGGTAGGCATCCTAATTGGGACAACAGTTATATTTTTAAAAATATGAGGGATCCATTTCGGATAACACTCTGGATGGATGGTTGTCCCAAAACAAATCAAGTCATCTCTATTTTGTCGGTTATTCTATTTTCCCTCCCCATCCATGCAGCAGTACTGCACCACACCTCTAGCACTCTATCATCCATGGGTACTTTATTTTTTTTTGTCATGTCGAGGGAGAGTAGCGTTTCTGTACTGCATGTCTTTGCTGCCCGGTATAGTTCACTTACTGGATTAGCTTTATTTAATGTTTTTTCACGTTTTTTTTCTTTTCTTGGGCTGATTTGGAGTCTTGCAGGCTCTGCGGGTCCTAATTAGGACTGGCCAAATCTTTTTTGGGCGGCAACGTTTGATGTGATGAGCAGGTTGCTCACGTTCTGGAGCCAAAAAAAACAAATACGTGATCCACCCCGCTCCCTCGCAGACTCTCAGTGCAGGAGCATTGAGACCACCCAGCACGCTCCAGTCAATGTTTCTCGTCCGCTCACACACCCCTGGACTCTACCCCCTGTAGGATCCAACCAACCAGGTCCGGGGTCCTTTTACTGGTCGCACCTGAGCTGCGAGCGAGTCGTGCATACATAACCTTCGTCGTCCCTCCAGAATTCTCACCTCCACACTCTCAACAGCAGCAGCAGTCAGAAAGCAGAAAGCAGCTCAAGTAGCATTGCCCATTCAGTCAATCAACAATAAAACGGCTCATCCGATCTTTCACCCACACCCCCTCATCCATCTCATCTACATGGTTTTGGTCAGCACTACTACTCCACGCATATAACCTAGCCGACTAGTCGCTTGCGATCCTCGGTATATATACGTCGAATAAATCATTTACCTCCCACACAACAAATCTACAACAATTTATTTATCTACATCAACCACCACTCCTCCCACCACTCCTTCTCCAGATCATCCAACACACTCGACCGCTTGGTTGCCACTTCTATACCCTCCCACAATCTTCAATCAATCCACAATGCAGCCAAAGGCACCAAAAGTTTCTACAAAGACTCACCGTCGCTCACGGACAGGTACTTACTAACTCCACAATCAGCTTTCTACATTGCTCGGTTACTGACATGGTGGATAGGATGCTTCACCTGCCGTCTTCGCCGCAAGAAGTGTGACGAGGGAAAGCCACTCTGCAAGGCCTGCAAGCATCTCGGTCTTAGCTGCGAGTACAAGCGTCCAGTCTGGTGGGGCAACGTTGACCAGCGCAAGCGCCAGAAGGAAACAATCAAGATGTTGATCAAGAGGACCAAGTTGTCGGAGAAAGTAAATCAGGCATCACCAATGAGCGCGGACTCCCCACCCGAGCTATCGCGCTCACTCCCAACTTCCGATACCCTTTCAGATACACTCGCACGACGAAGGAGCTTGAGCATGGAATCGGGATACACACTCGACCAGTACGATATCGAGGCCGAGGACGGCGCTTACCCCGAGATTCACCATGGACACCCACACCACCCACACCACCCGTTCCCGCCTTTCGAGGTTGATATCATGACAGAGAAGCAGACCTACATTAACAGCTATGGTATGCCCATGCGAAGGAGCTCAACCAGCACAGCCTCATACACTAGCAGCTTGAGGAGGGATTCGACTGTGATGTCATCGGTGGGCTTCCCGGAGGCGTTTCAGCTGGAGGCGGGTATCTCCCACCACGTACACACAGAGAATGGCCACCCTGCCGCTGCGGACTACAACTTTTTCGATTTTAACTATGGGCAGACCGAGGCAGTGCAGGAGCAGATTCCATACATCCCAGTGGACGAGCACGACCAGCATCTCCTCGACCACTTTATTAACAACGTTCTTCCTATTTTGTACCCGGTTCTGGATTTGAACTTGGATGGCGCAGTCAGGAGGGATGTGATTTTGCCAGCTCTGGCTAGCAACGAATGCTACCGAAGCTGCTGCCTCAGTATTGCGGCGCTTCACCTCAAGGCCACTCAGGGACTGCAGGGTGAATGGATTGACTCCGAGATCACCCGCCACAGATTTAATACCATTTCAGGGCTCTGCAAAGCACTCGAGAAGGATACCGATCACCTCGAGATTCTCGAAGCGACCATCGGCATGATTCTCTTCCAATGCTCAGTTGGAACTCCCGACGACGACCTCCCTGACATCCCATGGCACCAACACTTCCAGGCCATTACTTCCCTCGTCGGAAAGCTCGACCTGCAACGATTTTTGCAACCACTTACAGAGACCGTACACCCAACCCCATCAGTCAACATGACACTGACTGCCTGGATCGACATCCTCGGCGCCACCATGCGCGGCCGCGCCCCACACTTCGCCGACACATACCGTGAGAAGCATCTCGGCGGCGGCCAAAGTGGTCTCCGCGAGCTCATGGGCTGCGACGACCACGTCATGTACCTTATCTCAGAGATTGCCTGCCTCGAAGCTCTCAAGCACGACAACATGCTCACCGAGATGGAGCTGTGCGAACACATCAAGTCACTCGGGCACCAAATGGATCTTACCGAGCCACAATATGAGGAACCCGCCTACCCAATAATCACTCCGACGGGCCACATCGACCACCACCAACTCATACGCACTACCACCGCAGCATTCAGATACGCCGCCAGGATCTACCTGTGCAGCCTTGTGCCTGGATTCGACTGCACACAGCCACAGGTTGAGGATCTGTTGAACAAGCTCACTCACTGCCTAGAGCACATCCCGGCGGGTCCGGATGGCTTCGACAAGAGTCTTGTGTGGGTTATGTTGATTGGAGGGTCCGTGGCCATGGAGGGCTCGAGATTTAGGAGGTTCTTTGACAGCAGGTGCGCGCTGATGGGAGAGGACGCCAGGTACGGGAGCTTTGGGCGCATGGTCAGGCTGTTGGAGACTCTCTGGGAGCGCAGGGAGGTGGCTTGCGAGAACATCACATGGAGAGAGGTTATGGACAGCGAAAACTGGGACTTCCTCCTCATTTGATTTTCTTCACTTTCTTCTTTTTTCAAGAGCCTTTTTACTTTACAGACTTTTTATTGAGCATTCGCTACTATAAATTTCCTCTATTACATTTTTTCCTTTGTCACTTCTTTTTTTTTTGGCGGGCGATGGGGGCGGTGGGTTGTATATAGCATTCGTTCTGGCGTTCTTCTTTCGCTTCTTCTGATCCTCTTCGATCCGCATTATTTTTTTTCTCTTTTTTCCTTATTTTTTCTTTGTTTTAATTCATTCATCATGGGGTCTACGCACGATATCAGGAGTTTTCAATTATTTACTATGTTTTTTTGCAAGTGTCTTTTTTTCTTTTGTATAACGATATTTCCTTTGTCTTTTTTGACGAGAAGATTTTTTTTAAAACCGCTGGTTGGGGATTATGTAGCCAAGCTGTATACTATAAATTTGATATATACTACATATTATATATATGAAGTGTGTAGTAGTTTACTTGCCTGTGTTTTTTATTGTACTATTTTGTATTAGTTAGTTTTTCCTTTTTCCTTTTCCTTTGTTTTTTGCGGTGATGAGATGATGGCGGCCATGGGATGATGTATATTTTATTTTTTATTTTTTCCTTGTGTCCAAATAGCTAGTTTTTTTCTTTCTTTTGTCACCCACTCCATATTACGAGCAGTACGAGAAAAGTAAAAAAAGTTGGTTTTATTTTAATGAGCCTCATGAGTGTATAATGAATGTATCTCTAGTTTCCTTAATATAAGCTACCTACTATACTAGTTCAGTCAGTTCAAATTCAGTTCAGTCATATTTTACGAGATCGAAGTTTGCCCGAAAAAGAATTAAAAGGAGTTTATTCGTCACACAGAGCGTCCAATTAAACTAGTTTAAGATGAACCAGAAGCTAGAAACCGGCCTGTTGGCCAATCGCATACGCTGCCGTGACTGGTTAGTAAGTTTTTTTTCTCTTTCCGCTGGGTCGTGACTCTGCCCCTTCGCAAAGAAATCGAGTCACACTCGGGGTCTCACATCAGCTGCGAGTATTAATTTCCGGAAGTGCACTCGGTCACTTCACTGAGGGGCAGAGATGGAGATGGGAGCCTATGGGAGTAACTAATGGACGATGGATAACGAGATGAGATTGTCGTTTCTGGAGGGAGGGACGTAGCTAGCTAGCTGCTAGCTAGGGCTTGGAGGGTACCACAGATCAACAGATACCTTGGGGGGGCCAACCTTCAACTCGAACACAGATTCGCAAAGCAGGGGTGCTAGCTGGGCCTGGGTGTGTGCTTTATCGTGATATGATGACCGGAGGCGGAGTCCGCGGATGCGAGTTGTATGGAGTGGGGTAGAGTGGAAGGGCCGGGTTAGGAAAACGACTGGGGCAGGAAGGAGGAGGAGAAGGAGGAGGGAGGAGGAGGAGGAGCAAAAGGGGGAACGAGTTACAAGATCGTGGGTGGGTGGGTGTGTAGGGTGGTCAAATCGTGTGCTCATTTGTTTCCAACTCGAGCATTTGTTTGCACCGCGTAGCGGCCGGGGGAGACCGGGGAGGGGGAGGGGGGGTGCTATCAAAGTGTGGAGTGCAGGGAAGTATCGCTGGGATACATACTTGGTACCTACATGTACCTAGGTACGCTTTCGATCGTTGACTCGTGGAGGTGGCGGGTGGTCCATGGATAGACACTAGCTATGTGTTGTTTCTAAACAGTGCACTGCGTTTTTCCAGTCTAATATGTATCAATTGAGTTTGGCCCCACTCCCTTTTTTGTTTCTTGGTTTTACTGTCCGCCTGCGTGAGTGAGCTGGTTGCCTGATAGGTTTTAAGATTTCTCCGCGAGACACACCCCACTAATGGGAATCGTAATTTCGATTTGTATTTGCCATAGTCACACCGGCCTATTGATGTTCCCTCCTGGCTCAGACGTAGGTAAGTGGTTCGATGCTTTTGTCACTCACTTGTGTGTAATGTCGTCGTTTTAGATATCAGGAAACAAGGCAGAGGTAATATGATAGGTGAGCTAGATTGAGCTCGAGCTTCACAAGAAAAAAAAGCAGTATAGCATCTCAGACCAAGGGGAAACCAGGCACATACTGAGTTAGTTAAGTTCAGGTCATCATCTATTACTCCGCGCAGCAAGATCACCCTTAGGCAACAGGACTTTGGCTTTCTAGAACCTGATTGATTGATTGTCATTTACCAATAGGTAGGTTGATTTGTTTTTACCAAGAGCCTCATAGAATTTTTGCCATTGATAGTCCATCATGCACACTGTGCGTGATCCATATCCTACTTAGAAACATCAATAACGTCTATCGGCTACTATGACTCCGGACCCGATAAAAGACATTCTGTATCTACTGTCTATATAGATTAGATTAGGTTAGGAAGTCTGAGCTCAGGTGTCACGCCAGGTACTGGTTAGGTAAAAATCAGGGGGTTTGCCGAAGGTGGGAAATAAGTTTTTGCCGCATTGGTATCTTCAATTACTATACCATGACCAGATTGCGTGTTTAATTGGCGGGGTTGGCTATAGGGGTTAGACGAAAAGTTAAGAAACGTAACGTACGTGGTATGTGCCTGCAGATCATGTCGGGTGCGAGGATATATAACGTTTTGAGACGTGAGTAGGGCTCAATTAATTGTAATTGCAAGAGTGGAGCTCGAGGGCCATCGAACTATTGGTGCTACGTATACAGAAAGTGCACTCGAGTGTGTATCTAGGTGATAGTAATTGCAACATCTTCCCAATAAGCTGGCAATAATTAAATTCAAAATTTGCGTTACTCCACCTGTGCATTCTGTAACACGATCACTAAAAGCAAAAAAAAAAAATCATTCCCACCGCTGTGTCTCGTCGCTGACCCAAAACTGCAACTTTTTTCACTTCCTTCCCATCGGGACGGCAACAACAAAAACGCCCTGCGCATGTGTAGATGCATAACAATTGACAAACGAGCCTGTCAGCTGATCGGCTCCTTCTTCATCCTCTCGACTGAATGCAGTGGTCCTTTCCGGATTACTGCATCGCTACGGGTTCCTATACAATAGTTCTGGCTATGATATGATCAATGTCTATGTTCTATGTTGCTGGCTCAAACCCTCATGAGTTGGATATGTGTATCTCGGTAGCCCACATGTTTCCCGTTTCTGTACTCTCTCGGATAGCCGTATGGTCCTCTGTCCACGTGAGGAGATGGGTTACTCAGAGAGATTTTCTAGTAGATTTCTGTCCGTTTTGGTACTGATGATATGTTGGGACCACTATACATGGATCAACGGGTACATGTATATAACATGGCCATGGGACGGGTCGTGGTATTCGTCTCGTGAGGGAAAACCCGTTTATATATAAGCTTGTCTAACACGTGCCCCATGGATGAAGAAAACCATGATCTTCAATTAAAAGCCTCGTCTCGTCGTAACCAAGAGATCCCCGAATGTCGCCATAGTAAACTAGCTTTTATCCCGGAAGATCACATTCGGTTGTATGTGTTGTATATTACGATGAACGGGTACAATTATGTAGTTAGGATGCATTTATGCCGTGTTTCAGCATGAGCTCAGTCAACTCTTTTGCCCGACATCATTATGGTTGAGACGGGTTGCAAGATAATAGATATCTATCATGAATGAATTTTGTCTATGTCTTAGTTGAAACATTTGATCTTATTAAGTGAGAGTGATTCTCCGGTTATCCGCAACAATGTTCCAAACACCCTAACTTTAAGACATTCGTAGAACATATTCGCAACAGGGTTCCCCGACCTTGAATCTTGTTGGTGAACTACTTTTAGAGGATGTTAGACGTTCATGGTTATACCTAGAGACTCAATGTTTAACTCCAATGAATTAGGTATTTAACCATGCGCGTCAAACAGAAACGAATTCATAGCGAAACATATCCGACATTACAACGGTGTTTAGCGAAGTAAAGTGTTAAACGGTTCTCGGAAGTTATCCGGCCGGTACATCGATATCCCGGCCGGCGGTGGCACGGAGAACCATGGATCCTTCACTCGGCAAAAGCTCGTACGGGAAGAGGTTTCGGTCTTATTCTTACGGAGGCTACAGAAGCGAATAGTTTCCAATCCACTAGCCCTCATAAGGAATACCCAAGGATTTCAACCAGGTCATAGTGTAACGACCAACACAGTGATATACCGATAATTATGACCGGACAGAATTTCGGCATGGAGATTAAGCAGAGAACCAAACAGTGTTGGACCATTCCAAGTGCCTGTATCGCAACGAGATTTCGGTGCTCAATCTTAAAAAATAGATGTTGCTTGTAGTTTTCGCTACACCCCGAAATCCTAACAAGGAACACCCTTTTGAGTATTCCCAGTAGCTGTCAGCTCAATTTGTGGGGTAGATACCATTGGCCAGCTCCACGTGTTTTGGAAGATATCGTACGGCTTTGATCTGAGTTATTTTAGGTTGTTAATAAGGAGGGATATGGGTTGTTTGAGAGTTATAATTATAAATGTTTATGTCAGTTCATCTAGTCCAGGGTTTCAATGCGTTTAATCATTGACACTGTCAATCTGGGAACGGATTAAAAGATTTAGTCATCACCGTAGATACGTGAAAGCAGAATAGTAATTCAACTCCTGCATAATGGTGATAAGCAAGCTACTATAGCTTTTATCTTCATATGGAAGTACCTAACCACCTGCATGTGTATGCATGGTCCGTCATAAATAGAAGCGAGGCCTCACGGGAGAGGGATCGATTGTGTAGACTAATCATGACCCTGAAGGATCACATATTACTTTTGCAGAATGCACATGTAATAGTCCCAGTTTTTTTTTTTTTTTGTGCGTTAAGGTTGTGCATTGTATTTCTGTACTTCGATCCATACCCTTGGTCAGTGAGGTTACGCTTGGGATTATGTGTCGGTGCTGCATGTTCTACAGGCAGGATACATGCTATGCAAGTATTCATGCGTGCATGCATGTTCTCCCGGGCATAATTACCATGCTCGGCTTCAATCGCGGAAACCTAGATGATTTGAATCAGAATATACCACTGCCCACATATAACTAGAAAGAATCATGAAGTTTGATGGGGCTAGAGCCAGGTGATCTCCCGCCCAAACATCGGCTGAAGGCGAGAAAGGCCATCTCATATATCGTCCCGCTACTTAAAACCTGGTATATTTGGCATCCTATTACCCGGGACCACGGCTATAATGTATCCTCTGGGGATCTTGAAGTCGTGAGTTGTGGACCGGTGAGGAGTACGCACCGGGTTCCGCAACAGGTTAATCGGAATAGGGGAATCCCGGATCAACGATAAGGGAGTAGAGTAGAACACTGATGAAATCCATCCCGATTGAAGAAAGACGATTGCCTGCATAGCATTCATATTATGGTTATGCGCATGTCCATTAGAGTCTAGAGTAATTGAGTAATCTCAAGTAGGTGCTCTAAAGTTGGCACTGTATGGAATCCTGTACCTACATTAGGTACGGAGTACGTACAGATGTCAAGCTGAACCTTTGCCTGATCAATCTCTCAATTACTTTTTCGCTTATGCAGAGACTGAAACGGAAATCCTAATAATTACATGCACCAATGAAAACCCTTGGCGCGGCTCTTTTAATAAAGCGACCCAATCAGGAAGGTGTCTCATGTGCCGATTACAGAAAATCCTGGGTCTTATCAGCCTGATTATCGGTGGAAGAGGCTCTTTGATGAGGCGAAACAATTTCCCTAGTGATCCAATAGCATCTTTTAATCCATTCTTAAATTCCCATAGAGTACGTGTACTCTATCAATTAAGCACCTTCTTCAAAGCTTTGACCCCTATCTACGGCTTCAGCCGTAGCCGTACGTTCAATACACCTAGGTTGGATACTCTGTGCAGCAGCAGCACCATGGGTTGTAAGGCTATACTCGGCAGTTATTATTGAGCCCCAAAATATGCCGTGCTACCCACTATGGCAGATCTGTGGAGAGTCGAGGTCCCATCATTCGACCACATGAGGCACTCTGCACATGTTGCTTATGCCTCTCACGCCGTTTTTTTTTTTTGGTTTTTTTTTTTGTATAGAGTCCTCGATATCAGTCCGTTTCGTCGCCCTATGTGATCGACAGTAATCATACCATAGACATATTGTAATAAGCCTCTGATCGACACTGTAGATTTAAGATATAAGTTTCATCGAGAATGAAAAGAATATGACACACCCCTTTCCTGTGCAATTACGCAGTAGCAACCACATAGAGGACTATCTCCGCTTCTTCACTTCTTCGCTTCTTCGCTCGGCCTTCTTCACGTGCTGACTGGTTTCCAAAGCCACCGAAAATTGTTTACTGGGACTCAAGATGCAGTTGTGTTGTATAGCGGGGGTAAAGGTCTGGTCATTGGTTATCAGTTGTACTGCTAGGTATATATGGATAATCGCTTCGTGAAGCTTACATGGTTTCATTACTCCATTCGTGCGACCCTCTCTACCGGCCGAATTGAGAGTGCAGATCTTCTGTATTGGGAGTTTCAAAGGCTGCGCATTATAAAAGCTGTGCTGATATAATAGTCGAAGGGTGGTAGACGTGACAGATTGTTCAGGTAGGTAGGCAAGACCGAGTATCATCTGATTTCTATTCTGATTTGTTGCAGCTATTGTGGAACTCATCACCTCCACTCTTGATCTTGGGGTTCTGTATGTATGCATATGTATGCATACCGGCATCCGGGTAAGATGTAATGGTCTATGTACCTGAAAGGAAAAGCGGCTGCACATGCACGGGTGGTTATCTTCAGATATCCCCAAATGTATACAATGAGGTCACTCATGTGGGAGTGGAACCTCCTGCAAGCTCTGCCGTCGATGTGTGATAGACGTGGGGTGGTTCGTGAGTGTTCCTTGTCGATAATTAGCACACCCAGACCAAAAACAAAGGGCCAAGATGGTCTGGATTGATGCAGATAGTCATTCAAAGAGCGGTAAGCGTGGGGAAAACAGGAGGTGGGGTGCTGATGCCAATTCTAGACTTGTCGAGTCATGTTAGAAATTAATCTTTCTTTTTATCAAGGTCGATGTCGACTGGTTACCGATCCGTTCCTTAATTACTAGACTCCTGAAAGGCAGTTCTTGGGGAATGGGGGCGAACCACTAAGTAGAATACGTTGAGTGTATAGAGGTTGATGAAGTCCTAGCGCATTGCTTAAGAGAAGAACATGTATACATGTATGTATGTAGATTGAATTCGCAAAAGAGGAATGTTGTCTTGAACAGAGTAAGCTATGCTAGTGTTAGCGTTAGCTTAGTCCGCCTCCCCTGGCACCACGAACGAGTGAAGAAGTCCATTGAGACAATTCAACCAGACGATCACATATATGAACAGAAAGGATGAGAAATGTTGTAACTTAACTTGGTAGTATCTGGCAGAGGAAAGGGGGATGATTCTCTTCAAAATGGTGAAATAAAGGATCATGGGTTATCACTCGATCACATGACCAATCATATTGTGGGCAAAAGGACACTAATCTTTGTAGCGGGATTTAAAAAAAAAAAAAAAACGTAGAATGTGACGAACCTCACCACTTCTTCATCGTACACCCTTCGCTCAGCAGTCAGCTTCGATGAACTATCGAATTACCCAGCACATGGAAGCAATTAATTCCGCCGAGGATGGAGGGGAATCGAAGCTGGCAAAGAGAAGAGCGCTAGCGGATGGGGGCCGTGGCTAGGCCTCTAGCTCTATAGATCTAAGGGAGAGTCCGCAGGCAGGTTCCAGCATCACTGACCGGCTTACTAGGCAGACATATTACCGACTAGATCTAACAGGAGGGGGATTGCTTCTTGAATCAACTCGGCCGAGATAAAGTTATATAATACGGCTCGATTACGATATCCACTTTTAGAGTTTTAGTTAACAACTCTATCGGTTTCAAAATTTTGTCACCGGAAATTCGGCCTCTCGGGTAACAATATCAGAGGGCTAGCCCAAATCGAATCTGATAGTGGCATAACCCTGTAATCAGATCGCCCCGGGTTCGGCTCAGCCTACCCCGTAGATATACCACCGGTTCAGATATCTCAACAGGTGTATAGCCCTTGGGTTTTGTACATCAAAACTATATATTTTGAAAAGACTAATAGAATTCTTTTATACTTGTATCCTTGCAATAGATCTATCAGTCAAAGAAAGATTGGTGGGCGGATCACAAATAATCACTCGGGTTAATCGAGTGACGGCTTCTGACTGGCCGGTCGTCTGCTATCCGCGGTCTATTTAAACTGCTATTCCGGTAAAGAAAATCTGAACCTAGGAAGGCATACGTCAAGCTGAGAGACGCCGTGGTATAAAATATTACTATGCTAGGATGCGTTTCGTGATGCATTTACTCCCGTGGTAGAGAATGTATTGAATTCTTTACCCAATTATAAACTAGATAAACAAAACTTCAATCTAGCGCCGGGAAAAAATCAAATCGTCGACCATTCATCAAAAATTAGCAAAGCTGGAAGTTCGTCCCATCATTTCTCTTTCTCCTTCCCTTTCGTCTTACTATTACTACTGCTCGCGTTCTTATGCAGTCCATTTCCTTTGCCTTTCCCCTTCTTGGTGTCTCCTTCTAACAACTTCCCAAAGTCTGGGCTCACCACAAACTTTCCCTTCACCTGGCCCAGCGAAAACGCCGCTCCCATACGTTTTCCGATCTCGTCAATATCCTGTTCCCCCCATGGACTCTGTGTCTTCATAACCACAGCTTCCTGTAAAAAGTCACACGGCACAGCCCTGGCAACCTCCATTTCAATTGCCGTATTACCATCCACGCCATCTGCGGCACCCCACAGAATAGTCGTCCGCCCAGACTTATGTACCTGCAGTTTCCCTGCGATTCCAGGGGGTGGGTAGGATTCCAGCAGTGCCTGTTGTGCTCTGAGGTATATCTTAGCTCTGTACTTCGCAATGCCCGATACCTTTTTAGCAGTGGCAGGATCGTCAACATCGGCCGGCCTGTCAATGCTTTCATCTGCAGAGACAGAGGCAACAAGTTGAGGCAGAATAGGCGGGAACTGGAAGATGAAGATCTGATCATCAACCTCAGCATTCTCACTACTCATATTGACATCTCCATCCTCATCAGCCCCACCGCCGCGGCCAATTAGCTCTCTCAAAGTGGTGGCACGATCCAGCTCTTCCCTTTCAGCTTCCTCTCTGTCTTCGATGCTGCCTAACACGACTGCCGCCTTGGGATTCTTCTCATTATTCCGTCTTTTCTGTACTTTTTTGTCCTTCTTCGGATGCGGCCTTATCCCAGGAGTATCTCCTGAAGCTTCTTCTTTGACTGCGATCGTCTCCTCAAATACCGCAACGCGAGAGCTGCGCCCGCGCTTTAGTAGGCTGCTGTCTGTGTTGACCTGCGCAATGCGATCCACATGTGCCCTTCTTAGTACTCTAACAGGTGGTCCAGTGCCAGCACCCCAATTGCTTTCATCCGCAGCCCCCTCCACATTGTTGTCCTTTGCACTATTAACTAGGGCTATGTCTTCCACATCCACCCTGGAGCCTACAGAGTCATCCGAAGACGAGGAAGATATATTTCCGTCATCATTAACTTCAGGAGTTGCCGTAGTAGTGTTTGAAGTCTCGGAGCTAAGCGTTGTTCTGGTATTTAATCCAGGTCGGCGCCTATCGGTTGTATTTGAGCTTCGGCCACGTTCTTGAACAACCTTTTGAGCTCGCCCTAAGAGGGTTAGAATTGCGCTTCCAAAGCTTATAGCCACAGTTAGGGTTGAGAAAGAGGACAAACCTGGAGTAAAGACACTCCCGAGGGCGAAGGGCCCGGACGCACCCACTGCCGCCGTCTCCGTCTCCCACCGTCTCCCACGACTTCCGAAACCACCCCTTCCTCTGCTTCGCCTTGTAGAAGCTCCCCTACTACTGGCCGGCGGCGCTTCGTACTTTTTCTCTAGTGCATCTCTCTCCCTGCGTGTCGTGACAAAGCATTAGCTCTGGCTGGCCTGACCCCTCCCTTAAGCTTCCCGAGCGAACAAACAAACGTACTCTTTCGGCCTCCGTGATACGGGCCGCGGCTTAAATTTCAAAGGTATTGGCAGCCCTTGGTCGCCCCTGGCGCGGATGCTGTCCAGTCGTCCGGTGGGCGGTTTTACGATCTCGGATATGGGCATTGTTAATTGGGAGCGCTGCGAGCTGCTGAGCTGAGCATGAGCTTTGGTTGGAGCTTATCGCGTGGATTGCTAACCGAGAGCTGGGGAGGGAGGGTAACTGGATCGGGTGTGGGGGGCTGCACTTTGTTTCAATTGATTGATTGATAAGATTAGCGGGGTCAATGATCTGCATGAGGGTTGAAGAAACAAAGAATCTGGAGTCTAGTGAAAATTAATTATGGTCACTAAAAACCCTCCGTAGAAAGCTCACAATTATGATATGTGTGTGGTCAAGTCGAATGTCAATCAACATGAAAGCTTAGTGAACTTATGTAGCTGGCCAGACAAACAAAAGGACAAGATGGCTCTGCAACTCGCCTAATAGTTTTTGTACTTCTAGAGACGTATTAGTAAACCGTCTACTACAACTTCATCTCCTAGCATTATTGTTTCTGCCATTGTGAAATTAAGTCGTAATTATTGCAACGGTCCGTAATGCTGCTAATGAGGATTATGACGCCGAAGGTACCTCAATTACAAGAGGGAAAGACTAAGATCTAGAGGCAGCGGCTCAAACCTTAAATTTATGGACATGAACTTTATCGTAGCCGAGACGTGTTCGCTGTGCCATCGGACACCATTGCCTCTGTTCTCTCTTCTGCTACAGTATCTCCCGTTTAATTTTTCCTTCCCTCATCTATACATCTATACATCTACCTGGATCCACAGTTATCGCTATCTGACTCTAGCTCTGACCGTGATTGCTTCTCACACCCCGCTTCCTTTCCTTTAACAACATCACTTTGCACTAGGAGAAAACCATCACTACGAAAGCGCTCCAGAAACGCAGTGTTATGGGCTAAATACCCCCATGAACATGACTATTTTTGAAAAATATGGTTGGAAACATTGGCTTCAATAAACAAGATTCTGTGTCCTTGCTAGAATATGTTCCCAGGGAAGTGGCCCTTCCGTTTGAGATGGTGTTTGGCTATTTACAATACTCACTACCGCAGAAAATTACATGACGGATTCTTGTGCCTTCACCCCACGAAAGGAGTCTTTTCCAAGATTTCCACGCACATAGAGGATCCCCGAAAGTTGTCTGGATCTCTATGATCTAGGGCCGTATTTTTCGTTGAGACGCACATGAATGGGCCCATTCCTCCTCCCACCAAGCACATTGCATGCATCTTAAGCTACATCTCTTAAGACCTAGAATAGATAGAATATTTTGTCTGGTCCCCAGGTGCTCCCGCAGAAGTCCAACTACTCTGTAACATCTTTAGCCTGGGAAATATTGTTGCAATTGCCAACCGATCAAGTGAGCATCATGTAATATGCTTGTGGACAACTGCAGCCCCCCCACACGGCAGTCCATTGGGTGATCAAGTCGATACCTGCATTATACATCACGTTTGCGTACATCTGGGATGCACATGTCATTCATACCCCTGCGTTACTGCACCAGGCTGAAAAGTGGCGTCAACCAGGTACACTTTTACCCCTGGCGATATTCTAAAAAATGCATTGGAAGGGGTAGTGCTCCTGGCCTGCTGGTGTGGCGCGCGCTGCACTCACACAGTGGCTGAGGTCGACGACACGTATCATGACAACCAGCTACTCCTCTGATTAGACTTTTACAACACCTACGACTCATTGGAATTGGACCCATCGATAGCGTATTCTACTCATATTTCACTCTTATCATGTGTTGAGGTGTCGCCTTTTCTTTCTTCATTACGTGGGGCTGTGCATTCCTGTTTCAACATCTCTCAAGGAAATATATATTGAAAATAAGAAAGCAACTTTACCCCCGATCAACACATCGAGTTGACCTATTCAATATCACTGAAGAGAAACAAATAGCGAGTTTACCTAGCGTGAAACCACCCGGTCTGGTTATGTCAGCGCTAGAGCCGGGAAGTTTAGACGCGCCCTACCGATTGGTCGAAAGCAGCCTAATTTTGGGGCACGGGTGGTAGCAAATTCCCCTGTTTAGGAGAAAAGTCCAAATCCGTATGTTGCCTAATTAGCCTCCGTAGCGACAGGGTTAGGTTTTCCACCCAAAAATACAATCCCGGCGGAGGATCTGTCTTTCCTCTAACGTTCCTGATCTGGCGCCTACGGACATCAATTAAAAAAATTCTTCAGCAGACCAGGCAGGAATTATCCATCTTTACTCTTCATGTACGTTATCCTGGACTCGTCACCAACCTGCCAACAAACGAACTACCATGAATTCCCGGCTTACCGACCGACCGGCCGACTAACTGATCAACCGACAGTTTGTTGTTGTGACTTGTGACAGCGAACACGACATAGGGCCTACATACATACGCGAGCTAGGTTGACTGAACTCCAAACTATACCTTGGCTATGTATGTGACTTCTCGAAAGAATGGGGATGTAGAATAGGTCGGAAGTGGCGCTCTGGAAATGATGCTCCACAATCACTAGTGCCATTTGTCGCCATTCACCCTGTATTGGTTCCCCTGACTGCGACTTATTCATTGTCCAGCTCAGATATCTCCACCATGGGCCACCCAATGGGTCATCCTATCCTATCACTCTTGAAAATACAAATGATGTTCGCAAATGAGAGCCGCGGGGACAGGGATTCAAGACAACCTGATACCCCGAAAGGGTACAATTTCAACCAATAATGTCTCACTTTCGGCTGTTGGCCAATAGGGCGGCGGAGCGCATATATGGCATGGCATGGGGAACTAAAGATCTAGTCATTGATCCAGGGGAAACGTTTTGGGTGTGATGTAACTATGGAAACTCATAGGCGCCCAGCAATCCCTCGTGCGTCGAGGCAATAGATTGCTATTGTTGATTCGATGAAGGAAATTGTGCGACTGGTCATGGGAAATTCTTCTTCATGTATCTCTCCATTTCCTCCTCTCCCTCGATCTTGTCCACCTATCTACCCACCTTCACTTCTCTTTCTGGTACTGAGCTGATCTCAATACCTTTTTCTTCTTTTCTTTTATTTCCTTTTTGTTGTCGTTAAAGTTCCTTTGAAAGGACGATTGTTACCATTTCTTAATATTTCACGGGGCTTGAAGCTCTTAATTACTTACCCATATATTCTGTGCCACTACTACACATTTCATAACTATTACTACCATAGCACATATCAATCATCCGCCATGGACCGATTAACAACAACCACACTACTCATCTTCGCTCTCCTCTTCAGCAGCGCTACTGCTTTCAACAACGTCGGAAGCCAAAGCCTCTCGACCCTCCTCCCCCGACAAGAAACCTGCGGGTCCGATACCAACTCCGTTACCTGTAACGTCGGCTCCTTCTGTTGCCCCTCCAACACTCGCTGTATCCCCGTTGAAAATGCAACCTCGGTCGTGTGTTGCAAAGTCGGCGAGATCTGCGACGAGATTTTTCCCATTACGTGTTCCACAACAACCCTGAGCACGCTCTCGACACAACCAAAGCTCGACACCTGTGGCACACAATGCTGTCCAGTGGGTTATGAATGTGGCCCGAATAAGGATCGTTGTATCATGAAAGCTGCGAACCTGCCCGCGGATTACGTTGAGAACCGGGAAGGCAGGAAGAAGAACGCTACTGATGAAGCGCTGTTGGAGACATGTAAACAGTTTATCACTCTTCCTGCAACTAGTGATGAGGTTCCGGTGTCTCGATGCTCTAAGTTTACCTGGGAAGGAATTCTTGTTGGCCTTTTCCCGGGAATTGCCATTGGACTTGCGATAATGCTGGTATATATCAAGGCGGTGGAGATGAAAACTCGCCGGCGGACAATCCACTTTAACGGGCGTCTTTCTGCCATGCCCGAAGACTTTGAAGAACAGAAGCTGCCGCCACCACCGGTTCCGGTGATTGGAGCGGACGTGAGGGAGCGGTACTCAAGCAATTTCTTTAGTGCAAACAACAACCCCATGGTTGTGAACCCCACTCCCGCATTAACAAATGAGTGGAAGCCCCGCGACATGACCAATGAATGGAAACCGCGAAACTTCTCGGGCTCCTCCAACCCAATCCTCGAGGGCCGAGGCAGTGCAATGAGCCGGAGCACCAACGCATCATCTACAAACTCCCGCTCGCCTGCTCCGTACCCGCTCACGCCTGCACCAAAGCCTGCACCAGCTCCATACTCTATCTCACAAACCTCGACACCATATATTCCTACTCCTGAGCCGTCCGCTTACAACCCTGGACCGCGCTCGCGGCCATCCGAAGTCTCATCTGTCTCATCTGTCACCGCCTCCGACTTCTCCGCCGCTGTGACGAAAGCGCTACGAGGTGGAGATAGGCCCGACTTGGATGAGTTTAGTGAGCCCATGAAGGCGCGAGTCATGGATGTGAACCGCCCGCTGTCTCTGGAGACTGGATACACAGCCAGTTTCTACCAGGGAGGTGAGGGGCTATGCCATCCGCCATTCGTTGACGAGGAGGAAGTCCCACCATTGAGGTTCAAGGGAGGACTGCAGCCTGTAGGATTGACAGGAAGAGGCTTGGGATGGGACGATAACCGCTTCTAAGGAAGTGGGTGACGTCCTTCTTTTTTCTTTTGTTTTATTCTATTCTTATTTTTTACCTTGTTTTTTTGAGCGAGTATTGTTTTAATCAGGGGTTTTATTGCATCTGGTCTGGGATCATTACATTATTGTCAGACTTTACACCAGCGGTTTTCTTTTGTCTTTCAGCATGTTTTGGCGTTCTTTTTGTTTTTTGTTTTTTTTGGGTTCTTTTTGCAAAGCGAGCGTGCATTTGTTTCATTTATGTTTCTCATTTTTGTTGTTTTACGGCTACATATCTTGCAGTCCAACCATAGCGTTTAAAAAATTTGTGTGTGTGTGTGTGTGGTGATGATCAGTGGTATGCAGAGGGTGGAAAATTTGTATGACGAGCATGTAGGTACGCAGTCCCGAAAGGAACTTCTTTGCTTTCTCTAGCAAATCTTGTAAGAGATTTGGAATTCTATTATTACTCACGTTTTTTGTTTACTGCACGTACATACAGGTGAGATAGCATGAGGTGAGGTGGGATGATCATTGGCCCATCCCATCCCCATCCCATCTAGGCTATGCATGTGCGTACATCTAAGAACAGGCCCGCGCCCGCCTCTCCGGCCAGTGCGAATTCAAACTCATTAACCACATAGTATAGCTTTAATCTCATGATCAGCGCATCTGAAATTGGCAGTAAAGTAAGCTAGCGCTACCAAGCAAGTCGCATGTCATAGCCAGGATATGAAATCAGACGTAATCAGATGCGGCGTCTAAGTCATATATATATGTAGGTAAGTAAGTAGTATTTCCAGTGATCGTCGTCGTCGCGCGCGGCGCGCGCCCAGACTATTTTAATTTTCGGGCTGGAAGGTACGCGCACATGATGGAAAGTCCGCCCGGCAGGGCAGCGTGCCAAGGCGTAATCATGGCTGGGAGTATTTCTGGTCACCGGTTGCGCATGCCAACGTACGGACGTCCGGCCGGACGTTTTGCTGTTAACGTTAACGGTAAAAACGTTTTCTGTGAAATGATAGGGCGTACTCTACTAGTAGCTATAAGGGGGGGGGAAACAAAATTACACTTTTCTTGCGTAATATACCGTGAGGAGGCGTGTGAGTGGTTGAGAGTAAGATAGGGGACAATCTTAGTATCTCGAAAGGGGCTGGAGTTGGCTAGCCTGAGTGAGGTGTTGATTTTGAGGTATATATTGGTAGGTTTACAACTTAGTATTGATAATGGTGCCTTACTGGGTAGTTTGAACCTTAATAGATGCTACTCACGGTTCCATGGCGCTGTACTGCCTGGCTGGCTGGTTGGCTCGGGATCGAAAGCTCGTGAGAATCGAACTAGATGGTTCTAGAAGTGTTTTTCAGCTCCGGGGTCCTGAGGGCCGGGTCAGGCTCTGCATCGGGAAGTTGGTTTGTAACGTTCTGGAAAACTTCTGGAATATAGGGGGTAATTGGGCAGGAGAAATTATGGACGGTGATAGTTCTATAGGCTACGGTTGGAGTATTGGTAATTTGTGGCCCAGAAACGTTCGCTGGATTATGTAGGTACGGTCTCTATTGAGATGTGGCATCACCGACAGCAGAACATTAGAAATTTGGTGCGGCTGGGCCCGGGAGGCTGGTTAACGGTACAGCGCAGAATTCTTTCTGAATTCTACGACTGGGGCTACAGTCCGGGCTATGAAAGGTGAACTGGCCGGTACCAATCAATAGTCTTCTAACTAGCTCATGACTTCAAATCCACAGGAACAGACCTCGCCAACGTGTTCGGTCATAGAACGAAGAAAGTGGGGTATCCCGTCAGATCTGCCTGACCCAAGCTTCGTATCGCCCGATTAGTACTGCACTAGGAGACTGTGTGGGAATCCTGGGTGCTGAACTCCATTTTTTTTTTTTTTTACTGGTTTTCAGTGCGTGCGTTACCGTCCCGGGGGGGGGGGGGGGGATTTTCTGCGTATAAGGATTTGATAATGCTTCCCTAAGGATGGTCCTTTTTTAAGCCTCTGATAAGTGTTTGGAGAGCGTTTTATTTTGGTAAACTTGAAGCTTTTTCAATATTCCGCTCCGGACAAGACTTTGGTAAGCCTTTTTTTCTCGGTAATACGATTATCAGGACCACTTTGCTAGTCTATAAATCTACGAAAACTGGCCTGTCCATCGTGTTCGGTCATAGAACGGAGAAAACGGGGTATCCCGTCAGATCTGCCTAGCCTAAGCTTCGTATCGCTCAATTAGTACTGCAGTGGGAGACCATGTGTGAATCCTGAGTACCGAACTCTCTTTCCTTTTTGCCAATTCAGAACCTGGGGTGAGGTCGTAAACTTATTTTGGTACCGAACAAGATGTTAGATACGGACTTTATGTACATGAATAGTCCCAAGCTATTAGCGCCCAAAATATAAAGCTGTGGTGTATTGAGCCCGGGTTAGGAAGGATCGGGGTTCTGTATGTTTATTAAATCATGATTTGTCACTCGGACAGATCTGTCACGTGAGTTTCTCGTGGAGCACATCCATGATCCTCGCCACTTCTCAAAACATCAAGAGAGCAGACCAAGCAAGTGCAAGTAGTAGACAGAGCTGGTGGTTTCCAGCCGGGACGATTTTTCTAAATAGTGTTAATTTTGAATTCAAGTAATGCTGGTCCGACCCTTGTCACAATCCGATGTGGTGTAACGGTTAGCATCGCTCGCTTTCACCGAGCAGATCGGGGTTCGATTCCCCGCATCGGAGTAAATCATCCATGTTCATTTTCAGTATGTTAAATGAGTTTCGGTTGTTTTTTTCTTTCCTCTTTTGGTGTATGGAAGATGTGTGGGTTTTTTCTTTTGTTTTTCTGAACTTGAGTGGTATATAGTAGCTCTGCGTTCTGGGCGGATGTGTACCGAGTGATGGTTTATGATTTGGCGTCCTGGACTGATCGACTTCTTTTTTTTCTTTTTTCTATTTAATTTATTAATTGCATGCCTAGACTGATCGACTGATTGATAAGTAGTTCATTAATTATTATAGTATAGTATCCCCGCGGAGAATTATAAAACTGAAGGAATAGAGAGGCTTTGATTGTACAAGTGGTCATCTTGGGTGAGTATGAGGCCGTATGTATCTATTCCTTCTTGGCCATATCTGACCTTTCAGCGTATGCGAGCCAATCGTATAAAAATAATTAAGAATTTAGTAAATGATGGTCATGAGCTGGCTCAACGTAACTAAAAGTAGATCTACTGCGAACCTCATCTCAGCCCAAAGCAGGACAAACTCTATTGAATCAAGACAGATCAGGCCTATCTTTGGACTAGATCATCTAGTGATCGGTGTTGAGTCAAATAATCGAAGTTTGCACTTCATCATGTTGTGTTGCTTCATGACCTTTTACTAAACGTCAGCTATAAAGCACAATATAATATTATCTGGATAAATTACTATAGCATATGGGTCTGTTTCGTAAAGCAGTATCTCCTTCCCTTCTTGATGAATATATGTTTCGTTGGAACAAAGTTACAGCGCAGTCCTTGACGCCATCTCCTGGTGATGAATGATTTCGTTCATATCTGGCGCGCAGAGTATCTGAACAAAATCAGTATGCGCGTTTGTACCTTCAGGAGAAAAACACTTGCTTGGTCTCAATTCATACTTAGCAAGTGGGAGAGGAAGTGGGGTTCGTGGTCAAGCCACATAGATGTCAACGAACGAAAATCCAGATACCTCTATCTAAAAATCTAAAAAGCTTATCTGGTATCTATGTATACAAGTGCTTTCACTTTATCTCTTCGTAACCCAACATAACCACCGTCAACCATCTTCCTATTCATACTTTTCATCACATCAAATTGGACTTGAACTCATTTTTAAAAGATCCTTTTATTCGGCCAAACTACCAGAGCTACCGAGCCATTCTACCTAAAAAGTAAACACCAATTTCCGGCGCGAGCCAATCCAATCTTTTTTGTGTCCATTCCATCTGTTTTTCTTAACTACATCTCTTCCATCGTATCGACCATCGGCCATCGGCCATCCACATCCACGTCCCGTCACATACAGAAATAAATAAAAGAAGAAAAAAAAGGGAAAAAAGAATAATAAATAAGCTAGGGGGTCAAAAAATAAATGAACCAACAATGCACAGCTAGGATCCACCAAACAGTACACGGTAGAGCAGCAATAGTTGCGGTGAAAAAAAATCAATAAGGATATATATAAAAAAAAACACCATAACTAAACGCTCGAAAATCAAATCGTCATGAAGGAGAAAGATAATACTGTAAACCGACTAACTAACCCACCAACCTTCGTAAAAGAATAAACGCCAATAAGGTCCTCCAGGAGAAATCAAAAGGTAAAAAAAAGGTAAAAAGAATGAAGTAAAGAATAAAAAAAGGTGAAGCTAATAAAACAAGTGGAATGTAGAATGAAACACCCGCAGAGGGGCAAGTGAAGATTTGGAAATTAAATAAAAAAAAAGTGAAAATGAAATAGAAAGAGACCCCTCGCTATGAATGCATGATAAGGAAAAAAAATCAAAAATCAAACCCATTCTCGTACGTTCTGACATAAACAAATAACAGACAAAGGAAATATTAATCACAAAACTAAATCACATCAAACAATTTACATCTTCTCACCATTGACCTCAACCTCAAATCCCTCCTTCTTCTGCTTGATTGCCTTTGCAAGCATCAGCTCTCTCATCCAATCGATTCTCTCCTCTCGGCTACCAACAGCAAAGTGGTGGACCTTTCCGATGGCGCTCTTTCCAGGTTCCGGCGCAGCCGGTACAAGCTGGAAAAAGAAGGCGCCACAGTCACCGTCCTTGCCGCCCTTCTTGTTGCCAAAGAGCTTGGAGCCCTTGAAGGCGGCAGAGAGCTTGTGGCCGGCGCTAGTGGAGCAGGCAACAGAGTAGTTTTCCATCTCGATGAAGCCATCTTCTTTCTCCATGTGTCTTGCATACCCAAGACGGGTACCCTTGAGCACGAAGTGGTAGTCAGGCCACTCGTGGCGGAACCAGTTGGTTCTGCGCTTCTTC